TTCTCTTCTCGAGCAGCATCACTGAAGCAGAGACGATGCTGAAGGAACTGAACGAAGTAGGGAAGAAGATCGGATTGCAGATAAATCGGAAGAAGACTCAGTTTATGAAGAACGGCCTTTGCGAAGATGCAGGAATTGGAAGGCACCCCCATTATGGAGACGTGTTCTTACGTGTATCTCGGACGTTCGATGAACATGGACGACGACCTGAGCGAAGAACTTAACAGGAGAAGAAGAGCAGCCTGGGCCGCCTTCGGGCCTCTGAAGGAAGCCACCGACTAACTGACGGACCCGGAGCTCCGTGCCCACCTGCTCGACTCAACCATTCTCCCGGCGCTTTGTTACGCTGCTGAGACTTGGGCCGATACTGTGGCCACGTCGAAAGCTTTACGGACCGCCCACAGGGCGCTCGAGCGCAGTCTTCTGAAGATGATCCGACGCAAGCAACATCTAGTCGACTTCGCAGCACGTATATGAGAAGAATGTCCCGTCTTCGTGACCCAGCCGAATACTTTGCGAAAGCGAAACACCGATAGGCCGGTCACATCATGAGAAGAACAGACGACAGATGGACACTAAGAACATCGGAGTGGATTCCTCGCGAAGCAAAACGTTCCAGAGGAAGACCTCCAACGAGATGGACAGACGTGCTCGTGGAACGGATGGACCAGCTGAGAAATCAGCCGGATACGATTATTGCACCTGGCACTCGTGGACGCAGCCACCAATTCAACCAAGAAGAACGTGGATGTCTGAAGCGAGGGACAGGAATCAATGGAAACTTTTGTGATGAGGCCCGCACGCCACGTGAAAACGGGCCATCTAAGTATCTAAGTAAGAAGTAAGTAATCATATCCTTGGAGTACGGCAGGCTATTTGTTGCATAGCCCATAATTCTGGCATTCGCTATCTAGACATGCCAGTTCGAAACTCTAGTCTCTCTTACTGCAAGTTCTCTAGGCTGTTCTTGAAGCGAAGTTCGCTCAGTTCGTCGAACGACCTTGTAACTCACAAGGCAACCGAAAGCACCAACGATCAGCCTTTAAAATGGTTGTTTATCTCGCTATTTACGTATTTATGCAATGGATGCGAGGTCATTGCATTGTATTGTCGCCGACGGCTGCCTGAAATTCTGCTATAATTTAAGTATTTGAGGTCCGATTTGACGGTTTCAAGCGTTTGAGAAGACTTGATGTATGGGAACATTTGATTTTCTTATGACATAATACATCCCTTGTAAATTTGATGCGAATTAAGAGCTTTCTACTAAAAAAGCGCCATGCAAATACAATTATTATAAATTGTTTCGCAATTGCTTACTAATTAACTCTGAAGATTGTGGCCTCGAGGGTAAACTAGGCATGGTTCCATTCTATTTCGTACTTCCAGTATAAAACAGCTTTTGCAAATGAGAATCCAAAAGTCAATGTCTTCTATCAAACATTGCTTTTACATTTAGATCAGATCCCTTTTTTATTGATAGTAGTTGCAATGACTCTTATCTGAATGAAATAATTGGAAAACACTGTATTTGAAAGTGTTTAGTGTAACTTCTAGCTGTATCATAGCCAAGTCGCTGCAGGTATAGGCTGTTGTGTTTTTAGATATATTGAGGAATTTATGTTTTATCTTTTATATAAAGAAACAGAATTTGGGTAAGCGCTACATGATTACTTTTCAAAAGAAAGTATAATCATGAAAGACTCCTCATAGAATCGAATCCCTGTTTGCATTGATGCTCTATGAGACCACTGGCTGTAATCATGAACAAATTTTGAGGGTGTACCCCACAGTTTACTTTTAAGGGCGATTTTTACTCTTGAAGTCAAATTTACCTTTGAGAGCAAACTCTGAATCAAATTCTCCCTTGAAGCACACCTTGTGCTTTGTGAAGGGTTAATCGTTTTCTGGGGTAATTTACCTTCACGGGCAATATACCCTCAAGCTTTGTAAGAATAGCCACTAATGTGAAAACCTTCTCCACTGTCAGTATTCTCTTTTCTTTAACTAGCAATCTATACTATGTTTTGCATGAGCTAACCTGATTGTGATTTACTGATAATAAACAAGGTCAAAACCACTACAAGGTTAACCATGGCTTTCATGATGTTCATTTAAACTTGCCTAGAACTTTGGAGCTTTTGACTGCAAAGCAGTTGTTTACAAAAGCATGATAAACAAAATCACAATCCGTCCTTTTTTCTTACTCTCATTTTTTGAGTTGAACAGATGTCCCCAGTAGAAGCGAATGCGCAGGCTTTGCAACAAGATATTTTGGACTAAGAGTTATATCACTTCTTATTCGTGCTAACTTTTAACGGACCTTAGCAACTCATTTCACTTTACATTAACAAAGGTTCTGTTCGATCATCTACAACCAGAATTTTCTCGCAACACAATTATACCACTTACTATGACTAGTTGGGGCCGAACATCTGAAGGATGGTCATCAATCTGGTTTTTGCAATTAGCCAGGTCTTCTATATTGTTTGTTTACTCAGCCAGCATACTTGAGCATAAAGTGAACCCCGTTCGCTAAGGCTTACGGACTCTCAATTTCTCTTCAAGTATAAAAAGTTTAACTATGAGCTGTTCATACTACTGGAAAATTCAATACTATTGGAAAAACAAGCCAGTTATAGAAATTAAGTAGTTGTTATTAGCCTGCCAAGAATTTTCTTTACGTTACGGCAACTATTAATTCCTTAAACTGATTTGTAGATCGAATTAAACACGACGGCACACTTCGACAATAAAAGAAATTGTGTTGATGGAAAAATACAAAAAGTACGGTGAACATTGTTTACGCTAGAGATAAAAGATGTGCAAGTGACTTGTGTGTTCCTGTAAATAACTAAAATAATTTTTAAAATTTTCAAAAATTCAAATTAACCTTATAAAAAAATTTTTGGGAAAATTTTTTTCCCGAAACTTCAAAAAATTCTTTTTCGAAATTTCGGGGTTAGGGGCCCGCAAAAATGTTAGGAAGCAACCAAAAAATTTTCGGAGTGTGGCGTTAGCCACGCACCTTCATTTGAGAAAATTTTTGCCGTCCCCCCCCCCGGGTCCGAAACCCTGGGACCGCCACTGCTATGCATATGTTTTTTGGCTACGTTTTTGGTTGCTTTTTTCGTACATCGGAAATGGTGAAAGTATCTGACCATTTCTGAGCTACCACTTTAATTTTGCTAATTTTGCTAAAGTATCGCAAATTTTTGGATCGGTCGTTTACGAACTTTGATTATACCTTTTTGTATTTACCTTCATAGCTTATTTATGTTCGGTTTGCTTACATCAATAATTATATTGCTTGAAATGATCCAGGGCTTGGCACAGCTGGCACCGGGTCAAATTCAATATCTTTTATCTTTTTACAAAAAGCAAAGGGAGTACCGTTCTTGTGGCCGAAAAGACACAAAAATTGCGACGTTTTTTTTAGTCGACGTTCCGTTTTTTAAGGTCATGTTTAGAATTGAGGGTCAAAGGGGACTTCGTACGACATGGAAATTGCCCTGGTGTCAGCTCATGCTCCGCCACTAAATGATCCCCATCCTGTACCTCCGCACTTCCACAAAAGCATGCATTTGGCTGAAAACCATGACCATGTCATTCTTGAATCGTAAGCGATTTCTAATGTACCTTCCTGCTACTTCGCATTTCGTTTGGCAAACGGATATGATGGGTTTAAGAGTTTCGTTTTATTGCACGCAGGCAACATTCAATCATAGGATTTGAGAGTGACGACATCACGTCCGTTCGAGATTTCTCTCCTTTTTTCTCCTGGTACTTCCTGAGTGTATTAGTAAACATCGCATTTTTCTGGTTACTCATATTCTTTTGGAAGTTATGCTGATTAATCTTTGACGATCTCAACACGGCGACTTTTCTTTTTTTCCTGCAAGGAATACCTTGTAGCCGATCATTTTCGTTTGTTTCGATGATTCTCCATCTCTGTACCCACAACAATTTTGTGTTTACTTCCGCAAGGGTGACTTCAAACGCTCGCACCCCGCGTGGGCGCCAGCAGGCGGGGTTACATTCCAAAAACGCTTATGTGTGATCATTGTTCATGGAATGGGTAAGCCATCTATAATGACTGTAACTTACCTGCTATTTACCCAGCTTTATTCTCCGCTACTCTTACTTTCTAAAGATACGACTTCACCAACTAAGCACTAGGTGTAATTGCACCAATTTTGAAATAATGGAGCAAATCCAAGTGATCGCAATTAATCGTAGAAACAGCAGAGAATGATGAAAAGCACAAGGTGCAAAAGGATTCTCCTGCGCATATTCAGGAAATGGTGCAACTACACAAAGTTAATGCTCGAAGGAGTACGGTCTCAAATGTTCCATGACTCCTTCACTTCTTGATTGTTCGGGACCCTTTACCGTCAATTCGCACAAAAATCCTAGACTAGTTGAGCGCCATCTTTCGCTTGTTTAACCTTCTCTAGAATGTATCACCAAACTTTCACTTTCATGGCGTACAACATGGGGATGTTAGAGGCGAATCCAGTAACAAGATATTGTCCCACATCTTGCTGTATTGTTATTCGTATGTTTATGTCACGACCAGTTTGAGTATAGAACTCCGAATAAGAATAGAAACATCCCTTTGGAGCTTCTGAAGAAAAACGGTTAGCATCCGAAAAATGAGATTCACAACTTTTAGCGCAGACATTTGCATTCAGTTGCAGGTTTCCAAACAGTCGCTTTACACGCCAAGTCTTTTTTGAACATAGTTTGCCTACAAATTCCGTTGAACTACGTCCTGTACAATTTGCGATGAAGACTGACTTTCAATTTCTCCCAGTATTCATTAATTCGTTCAGTGACAAACTCTGTATACTACTCCGCATACGGAGTTACTCTGTAACTCTGTATACTGAAGCGTCAAAGAAAATTTCTACCTTCCAAGAGAGTAATGAATCACTAGTCACCAAATCACGTTTCTTGGTTTTGTAATATTTTAGAATGATGAATATGGTTTGGCTAGAATGTTGCCATGTGACTTAACACATTTTGTTGGGGAGTTTTGGGTGAGGAATGTTGTTGACACTGTATGTTTACAAACAGAGCAGTTTCACGAAGAATTACGTATGCTGTGAATGTATGGTTTTTTATGCGAATTTGAAAACTAGTTTTGGCAACAAAAATAGAATACCTTGTGTAGTTTTTCTAATGGAAATTCTTTGCATTCACTTGTAACGCGCACATACAAGTGTTTGTTTTTGTGTTACATTTTACGTAAGTTCAAATATGTAATTTATTTTTATTTTATTTTTTAATTTCGAATGATTCATTATGTTCAAATTTCAAATAATACATTACTCCCATCTCACCATTCACCATCTTTTCGTCCTTTTCAATTATCCATGTTCTTGTCTATTGTTCTCCTTTCATCTGCATAATATTAGGTCGTTTCAAAAGTAATTTCGCTTTTTTCAAACGGGCACCACATTTGATGGAACAAAGGTTTCTGAGAGATCTTGGAAGCATTCGATGCAGAATTTCATTCTCTTTCTAATGATCATGAAAGTGTTGCAAAACAGTCAATGAGCTTTCTAAAAATAACCAAAGTATGCGACCCATGCTTTTTGAGATAGTCTAGTTTCACAATTTTTTAAAACTTTCACATTAATCCTCAGAAGAAGTTCAAGTAATTGTTCGATAGAGCAAACCATATAGAATGCAAAACTATTTTTTTATCCTTTCCATAGCTTGTCATACATTTTTGACAGAGTTTTAACTGATGCTACCGATTTTCATACCTGGGCAGCTAAATCCTCGTAGAACATCAAAAGAAGAGCAGCTCGGCCACTATTCGACGCAGCATTTTCTCCTCTTTTCAACAGGTGGTTTTTGTTTCCGATTCGTTTAGTTTTCGGGGATAAAATCATTGCAATTCATTTTTTCAAGGAGCCTCATGCTGTACCTGAAAATCACGAAATTTGATATTTCGAACCCGTAAACCCTCACTTGCTTTGCAAAGTTAGTGCTAACTCATAGTACATTCTTGGTAGTCTCAAATTCCGAAAAATTATGATGTTTGCTGCGATTGTGGCTGAGGTGGGCCTTCCAAAATCCGATGGCTCTGTTAAAAAAATCTTTTAAAAAATTACGGCGAGCTAGGAGAAAGAGAAAAAAGTAGCACTGTATTCTATGAGGTTTACTCTATCGAATCGTTACTTGAACTTCTTCTGAGGATTGATATGAAAGTTTTAAAAAATTGTGAAACTTGATCATCTTAAAAAGCATAGGTCGCAAGTTTTGGTTATTTTCTGAAAGCTCATTGATTGTTTTGCAACATTTTCATAATTACTAGAAAGAGAATGAAATTCTGCATCGAATGCCTCCAAGATCTCTTAGAAACCTTTGTTCCATCAAATGTGGCGCTCGTTTGAAAAAAGCGAAATTACTTTTGAAACGACCTAATACAATCTTATAGATTTGAAGTCTTCTTCCATCGTAAGCTTGTTTTTTTTTGTACTTGCTGCTATTTGCCTCATTCTGCAAAAATAATTTAAGCATATATAATGTTGATTTAATTCTATTGAGTTTAGGCTATGCCACCGAACAATCGCTATTCATCTTTTCCATCGGTGATGGACTCGCTAAATGTGCTCAAATATTTACCGGAAACTCGCTACAACTCTTCATCGCAATCATTAGCGTCGACACTATCCAAACAAAAATTGCCACCATTGTCGCCACAAAACGAGGTGGTAGAGGACTACAAATGTAAGTTGTAATGTTTTTCTCATAATAATTTCGATAAAGCAGCAAGTTCCCCCAAATTTGTGCAGAAAAGTGCGGGAATTGTTGTGAATCCTCTCGAATTTCTTGAGCACATTTTCAACCTGGTGCGTTGTGAATCCTCTCGGATTTCTTGAGTAAATTTTCAACCTGGCGCTCTTACTAGTAATTCTATTAAGCGTAAACGTTAAGCGTAGACATTAAAGAAGATTTTGCAATTCACAAAGCTACCACATTTTAATCTTCCAAATTTTCACTTTGGTCTATGGAGTCATCTTCAGAAATGCGTACAGATTTCAAATGTTCCATTTTATGGTTTCTTAATGCCCTACGCCTTTTTCTCTTTTCTCATTCCAATATGTGAGGAGAATCCTAGGAGCAGAATCTTTTTATTGCGAATTATCATTCGCTAAATAAAAAGATTTTGCTCATAATATCAGTAACTCAACAGGCTAATCTAAGAGCAGTGAACTTAACAAACGTGACGGAAATATAAAAGTTTAGATTAACTTTTCAACGGTTGCACTCTCCGCGATAAGTTGTAGTTCATCAAGGACTTGTACTGATGTGCACACAATCTGTAGTCCTGAGAAATGAAAAGATTAATGATCTTTCTCATCTGCCATGAGTATTGTCAACTCCTTTTTGCCGCAGGTTTTTGTTCGCGGTCTCTTCAATTTTGTAGCTTGAAGAATACATAGTGTAGCAGCTGTATAATATTTGAACTCTCCCTCGTCACCACTTTATCGATAAGTCATGGCGGTGAGACTCGAAAAAGTGTGCAGAGGAGGCTACAAGCTACAAACTACATCCCCTTGTTAGGTTCGCTTTATGACTGAGGGAACGAAAAATCTTCCCAATCATGAATGCAGTAGTTTAGCTTGAAAGCAGACAGTAGCTCACTCTTTATCGCTTCTTTGCGCCTTTACATAGCGAAATCTTTTCGTAAAATTTACATTCTAGTTGATCAAGATATTAACGCGTAACTATCCTATAATGATCTAATAAAATATATCTTCGTCATAGAAGAAACTAGTTGGCATACCCGGCTCCGCCCGGGCCTGTCAATAATATATTTGTAATCAGCATGCTCGATTACCCCCCTGTGCCAACTCCCAGCCCTGTAGCTCAAATTTTGCAAAAAAATCGATAAAATCGATATCGATCGATAACGAAAAGTAGCCTATGACACGCTCCCTGCCCCGAAGTATATGTGTGCCAAGTTTGGTCCAAATCGGTTCAGAAATAAAAATTTCTATTCCGCACGTACGTACGTACAGACAGACAGACAGACAGACAGACAGACAGACAGACAGACAGACAGACAGACATACACACAATCAGCTTTATATATAAGATAAGATAAGATACTGTGACTTTTACAAACCTCAAGAAAACAAATCAGTAATTGTAAGTCAAATATTCGTCATCTTCGAAGAACAAAAACCTTTTTAAAGCTGCTTTAAGATATATGCTTAGCCTCACGCTTATGCAAAATTTTTATGGATGTGAAACAACTTTCTCCATATTACTGATGGGTCAGGAAAAAATGCAGTGAAGTGTCGCAGGTCAAAATTGTAATCGGCATTGCTTCCTTTTTTAATTTCACTCTCACTCTTACGAAATTTCTGACTTGGAATACGGAATAATCACGATCTCGTGATAAGAAAATTCGGAGAATGCTTTGAAGGCGAAAAAAAGTAGACTGATACATTGCAAATATTTCGATTATCTTGTCCAGGCTTAAAATTACCTAAAGATTGATGCAGTTTATCAACACTGTTGTTAACTCAACATTTTCAAATATTTTATGAGTTTTAAGCCGTTGCTGTTGAAGTTTGCGGTCGAAACACGGTTTAAAAGTTCAAAGGCTGCCTGAATGGTTAATCTAGGAGAAAATGGCATGCCATAGGTATCAATGGACTCTCATTAACCCATCCTTGTAGCCTTGATAGCGCAAGTTTGACCCCATATAAGATTGACAGTTCATTAGCCAGTGATTAGATTGTACGATGTTGTATTTGTCCAGGTAGATATCACTCCTACAGCTTACAAAGTTTCACTTCGTCAAATTTCTTGCATTGAACTGTGAATTCTAACAATCTGAAGACATAAATTATCACTATTTTATAACTTATCCAAGTCTTGTAATCAAAACACTACTCTATATACCCACAATACCTAGCTTCCCTCGAATCACAAAAACAGCTAAACTTGGTTTTTTCTAATCAGAACAAAAGCGCTTCTTGAAAATTAATGTAAATAAGAAATTCGCATCTTGCAAAATACATTTTTGTTGAGTAAACGGATCTATCTTTTTTCCTAACTCTATCTCCACTGTGCTATTATTAGGTTGATACATTAAGTCTTGCACGAAGAACATAAACGCTTTGTTTTGAAATTGATCAGATCAGTTCCAGAACATTATTCACCTTTTGTGACCTATATCAAAAGTTGTATCATATCGTAGCCATTGAAGAATTTTTACAAGAGAATAGTAGAATAAAAAAATTGCGTATATTCTTAGAAACGTGCGATCACCACCAATTTTTCTTAGTAAGAGAGAGAGCATGAAAACTAGAAGCAAAAAACGAGATAGTAGGCTTTTAAGTAATTTTGGACTTCAAGATCCACTTTTTGAGTGTTTTTCAAAGTTTTTATTATCGCTGAATACCGAACATTTTTTCTCGAGTAATTTTGAAAAGTTCTCTTTTTTATTCACTGCTTATCAAAGTAAAAGGTAGAATTGGGAAAGGCAATGAATCTTTCAATTTCCTGATACAAATCTTATGCATCAATCAAAAAAAGGAAATTTTTCTATTTTTAAATACTCATGAGCAAAGTTCTTAGCAGTTGTCGAGTGACTAGTGACTACAAAGCACAGCTTTGTGCATAATGTTCCCGTCGCCAATGTCCTGAGCAGATGAGCCGCCGAGAGTGTAATCTTCAGTGGGGGCAATAACTTACTCGGGGCACTTTTTGGAGGTCATCCACTCCTTTACGAGTCTTCTTATGAATTTTTCATCGAATTTAGGATGGACCATATGTTTGGCATATTCATGACTTATTCTCACACCCGCAGTTTTTCTGAAATGAACTCCGAGATTTTTGGTCCAAAAAAGTTCGAAAAACGTTCAATGTTTGGGGGTAACTCGCAAGTTTTTCTTTAAGGAATCGCATAAAAATCGTGTGTTTTGAATTTAGCGTATGCAACTTCTAAAAAAATGGAAAAATTGGCAATTAAACTATTGCCATCCCTATGGACGTTATCACTACGAATCCAATATTTAGTTAGAAATCAGTGAAATTCTTGCTGAGACGATCGTGGCTTTTCTTAGGCTACTGACATTTTTGCTATCCATTTTGCACAAGTTATGTACTTTCCTTTATAAGCTTGTACTTCTTGCCTACAACAATCCTTGATTTGAGCACGTCACAAATTTGATTCTTTTTCTCCCAAATTTGTCGAAAATTGAGTTTATTGGAAGTGGGGAAGTTCAGAAATTTATAGCTTTTGGTACAAGACTTCAGAACTCTTGAACCCATTTAAAACATTAGTTCTATTTGCTATAACTCAAGTGATCTTGACAGCTATAATTTGGTTTTTGGACTTAACTGTCAGCAAACAGTAAAAACCAGTTGCAATAATCTATATGTTGTACAACTCTTGCAATAGTGTAAACAAGGTGACTAACTTGTGGCGTAGTAACTTCTTACACAGTTTGTAAATTGATCGTAAAACTTGCACACAAGCAGTAGTTTTCAAACTTTACTGTGGCTGAGAGCAGTATTTCTCAAACATCACTTATTTCGTGGAAAATAAGATATGTTAGCGTCGTCGAGCATTGTTGTCACATTGGCACATGGCCAACTTTTACAAGTGCAAGTAAGAGATCTTTGGTTGTCTACATTTTGCTCACTCAGCTGATTTATCACGAGAGCCATAATGTGATGATTTATACCTCAAAATCTATGCGCCCTTCATTTTACTTTTCTTTAGATGAAAGAATGCTAATAACTGAAAAATTTGATTTTTGTACGCATGTGAATTCTCTATGTGCTGATGTTTTACTTTGCCTTTCCAAATTCATGAAAGGATGTGCGAATATTGGAAAGTTTTGTCTCTTGTGCATTTGAATTTCTATGAATTTTTACGCGCTGTTTGGATTTGCAAATGGAAATGCACGGATTGCTTGGAAAGTATCTATTGGGCTAAAAAGTATTTTCTGACTTTTTTTGGGGCTTACTTCAAATGAGCAGTCCATCTTATTCGTAATATTTTGAAGTGGATTATGGCTCAACAAAACCTGTTTTTTGAATGTTTTGTGGTTGTTGTTGTAATACTCTCAAGTGAGAGCATTTTGGTGGAAATTAAGGCTACGAAAGAGTAATGGAAACCAATGATGAGCAGATGATATTTTTCATCAGTTTTGATTTCATCTACAGCCTATATTAGCTCACCAAAATATTGAGAGAAACTTTGTTTTTCATTCTGATGAAAGACTGACACATCTACAGAGCCCTTGTATATAATTCAGCTCTTTACTTTCCTATATACTCTCAACAAGCATATTTACTTGCTGATTTAGTAGCGTTTTGAAAAAAAGCCAAAGCAGGCACAGAAATCTGAACTCTCATATGAACGAAGGGATTGAACAAAATATAAAAGAATGACATTTTTTATACTTTATAAGTCAATCAGATCGAAAAATTGGATTGAAGTAAGTCAGCGGCTATGCAAAACTTAAAGCGTTTGAATTGTCTTTCTTAAACTCTCGTTTCCGTCATGATTACTTGTAATTTCTTCTTCATTCATGTCTTTTTTAATTTGCGGGACAACTCCATAATTTTTATGCAATTCTAAGTTGAGTTTTTATTTCAAAGCTTGCTCCAAACTTCGAATTATTTCTGTTGAATTAGGTTCGATAGTTGCCTTGGTTACCGCGATGCACTGCTGATAAGCCAAAAAACGCACTCTCTGTGCTTTGTTCTAGTTGACCGTTGTAGTTCGTCGGTCAAGAGGTGCTTATCAGAGGTGCCAGAGTCGCTAGGTGCCTAGCCTAGCTATCTTTCCAACTTGCTTATTAGACTTCTGCCTCCGATAACGATGCCTTTCTGACATCGTTCGCCCAAACATTACAGCCCTTCTCCATTTAAGATAGTAGCCTATGTGTTTGTCACACTGCTTCTTTCTGTTTTGAAGAAAGTCTGTTTAGTTAGAGTAAAGTTTTACGATTAGGGGGTAGAATCAATTGCTTGAAAACATCGACGAAATGCGGTAGGTGTCAGTTTTTATACTCACTCTCTGATGACTTGTTGATGGTGCAGCTTACCAGCCATGTCCAAAAGCTAATCTTATGCATCTGTCACAAACTTTACACCATTAACTAACACGAATTTCAGATCCGACGATGATCGACCAGGTCGTCGACGCATTCGTGGTCCTGGCCAAATGCCTTGTGTTGACAGTCGTGGCCAGTGTCAAAGCGCTTCTGCCTATGGGTGTACTCCCGAGGAAGAATGTGAAAGGTGCAGTTCTCTAAGAGTGCTTTTGGACTAATATGAGTAACATCGGCTCCCAAATTTATGTGGAGGCGGCTTGCAGACTTTCCCTGATTATCACAATAAGCTTCTTAAGATTCGACGTTACAGCCTTGTTTCGTACTCGCTCATTAACTTTATTCATATGGACAAGAGTCCGCAATTCGCCTCCACACGAATTTGGGAGCCGATCATACATACGGGTCTTTAATATCTATCGCATAATCAAACAACAATCACTACACATTCATTCCACGTACTCTTTACGGTGCACACAATGAGTAAAAGATTGCTTGCTACTAATATTCTATCTAATCATACGGCAATGGTTTTGTGTAAACAGTAGTGAGTACTTATCCAAACAATAGGGGACCGTAGAGATTTTTTTAGGAGAAGGAGGAGGGGGGAGGAGAGGAATAAGGAGCGCCTCTCCAAACTTCATGGCTCCTCGAATGCAAAAAAGCTTTTTGGACGTTTGGGCCTAATCAGCTTTCATGTAACTCAAAATGATTGTTCAAACTTCTACAGTCTAGACAATTATACGAGCTTAAAGCTATTCAATTTGCGATTACAACACATTTTTAGGCAGATGTGGAGAGGGGGGGGGGGACAAAGAGGAATAGGATAAAGCAGAAGCACTCAACTTTAGCACATATTTGTCTGATAATTTATGTAGCAAGATCATTGCTTAATAAGCGTTAAAAAAATGTTTTCCCTGAAAAGCGTTATGTTTTGAACGCGGCTGGCGTGTCATCTACATCTGTAGTTGCCTTACATTTGGTCATGTGCAACTGACATATTCGAATGAAGGAAAGCGTCAAGCCAAGCCCTCCGGAACTTTTGCGAAAATTTCTTGAATTTTTTCTGAATCTGTAACCTCAAAATCTCAGAAAGAAATTTCAGTGTAGCGTCTTTCGAAAAAATTGAAAGCTGTTTTGGATTTTTGAAAGGAATTCTTGAAAATTCTAATTATTAGGTTGAACCGAAAGTTCGTTCGCACCGTTTTCAAAAATTCATAACTTCTTTCTGTCACAACGATTTTGCGCAATTTAAGTTCTATTAGAAAGCGTAAAGCATGTGGTTTCCAATAGTCTTCTGGCTACTTTCCAGCATGTTCAGATTGCAGAGATAAAAATGAAAGAACGATAACATCCGAAATTCGGAATTTTTGAGAAACAACTCCAGAAATCTAGAAACTGCGCGATAAAATCCAGAAAAGCCATTATCCTAATTTTCCTTATATTTGATTACTAACTGAGTTAAGTTTGTGCTGATCGAGCTTTTCTTTCAAAAGTTATGATTTTTTGAAAAAAATTCCGAAAAATGAATTTCTTAGGAATTCTTAGGAAAGTGATTTTTTGGAATTTTTTTCAAAAAATCATAGCTTTTGAAAGAAGAGCTCGATCAGCACAAACCTAACTCAGTTAGTAATCAAATATAAGAAAAATTAGGATAATGGCTTTTCTGGATTTTATCGCGCAGTTTCTAGATTTCTGGAATTGTTTCTCAAAAATTCCGAATTTCGGATGTTTTCGTTCTTTCATTTTTATCTCTGCAATCTGAACATGCTGGAAAGTCGACAGGGGATTATTGGAAACTACATGCTTTACGCTTTTCAATAAAACTTGAATTGCGCAAAATCGTCGTGACGGAAAGAAGTTATGATTTTTTGAAAATGGTGCGAACGAACTTTCGGTTCAACCTAATATTTACAAGTGAATAAGTCACTAACACAGTTTTATAATAGAGCACTCAAAATTTTTGCAGTTGTCAGGGGAAGCAAGGAGGGGGAGAGAGAGCTACGTACCCGCGAGACTTGAACTATTTGCCTAGGGTATGCCAAAGCGGGATTCTCTAGTTGAAATAAATTTTTCTGTTATATCTTTATCCAACATATACGCTAAAAAAAACCGACGCTGCTCATGCCAAACAAGGTGTTATTTCTAGGCGAAACTGTCCTCATCACCGGATCTGGCAGCGGACTTGGGCGACTTATGGCGATTGAAGTGAGCACGATCGAGTTCTTGAACTCGCAGTCCAGGCACTTATTTCTCTTTTAGTTCGCTAAACTCGGGTCAAAAGTAGTTCTCTGGGACATCAACGAAAAAAGTAACCTGGAAACAAAACAGATGCTTGACGAACTCAAAGCTGAGGTGAGCCTTTGCATTTTGTGCATCTGTTTCTTACCGAATTCAGTCAAACTAATGCTTTTGAATCAGAGAAAATCTTTATCTGACACAGAGCAGCAAAAATTTTCAAAGTGAAAGCTTAACAGTTTTTGATCGTACAGAATTTTTGAAAACAACAAGGTGAGGTTGAGACATTTGAGGTTTACATAAGCACCGGGAATACTCGTAACGGTAAAATTGCAAAAAGTGATGTGATGAAAGATGTGCAGTTGTTGAGAGGAGAGCGACAAACAAGAAAAAGTTTGCAATAACATAGCTACAGCTGCTGAATAGGCTAATTCAAAACCTGAATAACCAACGGGAGTTTTAGATAAATCATAAAGAATGGTTAAGCACCCATAAGAAATGTTACAGAGGACAATGCGATTTGGGTTCTCACAGCCCACTGAAACAAGTAGAGCCAAAATTAAAGAAACAGACGACGACACTTTAGCAACAAGATAATCTAAGTGCCTAAATCATTATTACATACCTGAAATTCTATTTCGAAAGGTTATGAAAGGATCTAAAAGATATTATATCTTTCAACAAACTATGTAGTTAACTGTGGCCACGTCTAATCAAAATAAACAAAGTAAAACCATTGTTGAAGGCTAGAATGGAACTTCTGAATATTTTTTCTTATGATTCTGCGCAAAACGTTTTTTTTTGTGAGGATATCTTACTCTTCGTCTTCACAACTTTTATCCTTATCACTTTCGCTAGTTCCCCTCTCCGGATGTTCAAAGAAACATGAAAATCCGAATGGACATTGTCCAGTTGCGTTCAGGGGGCATTCTTCCTAGAAAACAAAGCTAAGATGGAACTTTGCCGAATAACAACAAACTCGCTTTTTTGATTGGTATCAAATACAATCCGTGTAATTCATAGTAAAGACTTTCAGCCATCTTATGCAGTACCGAAATAGCCTGAAAGATATGTAATGTACAGTGTGAACAAGCACTTTCTCCCCACACCTGCTGATCAAGTGGGCCCTCCAAAGGTAAAGAAGGCCAGTTATTGTTAAACACTGGAGCTGCAGGCACCGATGGATAAGAGACGGGGTTTGGTAAAGATGGTGCATCTTGATTAATTTTGTTCTAAACATGGAAATTTTGACCTTCGTAAACATCAATTCCGATTTTTGAAAAACCTACCAGGTGACATAGAGCACAACGTTCTGGAGGCACAGCCTGTACAGCCTGCTCTCTTTCGATTTCTTCGCACGTATTCCCTGGCACAGAAGCGATTCCAGAAGTTTCGGGAAAACGATAGTGTTCTTTGAATTGTGCAGCAAGAACCTCAAGCAAATTAACTTCATGTTAGTTCACATCTCTGTAGCTCACATTTTGCGTAAATGGTAAGAAATTTTGCGTTTGCTGCGAAAGATACATCCACTGCTGTTGTTCGGGTGTAAACTGATTCATAGAAGCGTCTGGAACATGCATTTGAGCGGATCCAGGAGACTTTGGGACCTGCAAAAAGGCTTGACTTTGATCAGCACAAACTAAGCGTAACATCAAAGAAAATTTGCTTTGATGTGAAAGTTTGTATTTTCTTGCAACTCCTGACGCTAAAACTCCTTTCTAAGCATCTGGAAACAACTCGATCACATCGTTTTTTTTTTTGGAGAAAAAGGTGAACTCTAGAAGAGAATACTCAATCCGAGATCCTTCATTTATTGAAATGTGCTCGTATAACTTTATCGTACTTTCCAAGCATGGAGTTGAATTTCAGACTTTAAAGCTCATGTTTTCTACGATTTTCGTCTAAAAATTTTAAGAAAGCACCTACATCACCATTTAACACTCGATGCTCTTCCAATGCGCGAAATTGAATGTTGCCTTGGTTATGCCAGCCGTTATGACCATAGCGATTAACTTCTGTGCGCCTCCAGACATCACATGTATTATTCTGTGTTTAGATATGATAGCACATTATAGTTTTCGAAGAAGGAAGAAAATTGTATGAACCTCAAAAGCAACAGGAAGAGAACGTCTCCGATTTATGAACTGGTTATAGTTATGAGATGATAGTGAAGAACGAAACATCGTTGGCATTTTGGGAATTAGATCAGCGAGTACCAGACGGGGACAGTCGCAATAATGAGTTGAGTGGCACCGACTCCTCAAGGCGCGTTTGTACTTGTTAGCTCTGTATCTTGACTTGTTTCCATTTGCGGAAAACACGTCTACCTTGTCAGGTCGGTAAAAGCAGGAAATCAATCTAGGCAAACTTCTAGAGCATGGTACTATTAGCATGCAGGAAAAGGCTGATAAGATCTTGAGTTTCGTTCAATCAAAACAAACAGACATTGCTTAAGTATAGTTTTGTTTTCTGAAGAAGAGATATACTTTTGAAAAACCTCCAAAAAAATTTATCTACGCAAGTCACTGCTTCTTCTCAACGATCACGAAAGCTCCTTTATAGGTTAACGTAGAGAGTAAAAGACAATCTTATACAAAAGTCAGTCGAACTGAAGTCAAATCTCATTCATCCCATGAAAAGCAATTGGTCATTTCCATGTAGATCACTTTTCGCTCTTCCTCTTTCCCACTCCCTTTCCCTTCCTTTTTCATGAGATACACCCTGCTTTCGTAATTTAATCGAACTGTGGAGGTGGCTTATTTAGCGCCTCCTACGCTATGATATGCGCAAAATGCTTCAAAGCTTTCTGAGAATACAAGTTGCTATACACATACAATTTTCTGACTTTTGGTTGTCTGGATCGCTAGCATACTCGAGAAGCAGTGAAAATCGGCTGTTTCGCTAAAGAACGGGTCCTACTTACAAGGAAAGGATACTCGGTCACCGTGGCCATTTGTAATGCGATGTATATTGTAAGATGCATCTTGAAACGCTGATTCCAAATCTGTGCTCGATATCTGCGAAACGATCTTATGAAGGAAGCTATGAACTTTTTTTTCGTAAAAAATTGCCGACTTTTGTGTAGTTAAATTCACCAAATTTGTTCCAAGTTACCATTTAAAGCTATTGAAGAGAGTCTTAAAAGGGGATACTGTCGTATTATACCTATCTAAATTATATTCAGCATTTAAAAAAGAAAGAAAATTTTTATTGATGATTTTGACCCTCCGCAGTAACGCAATTTATTTATGAAAACATAATCATAACTCTATCCAGATTATCGCTTTGCAGATATGGAAGACAGTATCCGAACCAGCATCAAAAGGCGCATTTTTTAATATACAAATCATTATGAATGGCCGCGGTGACCAAGTATCCTTCCCTTGTTAGACGTAATATGCATGCTGCGCCAAGATTTGATGTGTAGAGCATTTGGTCAGTTCACTTCCCATTAGAAATGACAATGGAGGTGAAAGGCAGCTTTTGCCTTTTTCAAAACCGGTACTTCGTTTACTAAACCAAAAAGCATGACATACCATGGTACCATTAAGTGGCTGAAGCTTTGGTGCTGAATCTTGCGTTCCCGTTGCTGATGCTCCTGCATGCACTCTTGATAGGGCTGCCGGGTTTTTTGCAAGATTCTGGAAGTAAAGGGCTCAAAATCTAACGTCAAAAATGCTTGCTTTGCTTGTTTAATTCTGAAATTTTACCATGATCTCATAGCAATTTTTTGCATAGCAACGTTCTCATCCCGCGAATCAAAGTCTACTTAAACCACTGGATTCATTTTGACTCTATCCACTACCGATAAAAGGTAAGATGGAACAAAAATTTGAGCTTTTCATAGTGCAAAGATACTGCGCAAGAATCGAGATGTACTTCTGGGTAGGAAAAAAAACCTTGACCCCTGGAGCGGAGCTTGTCTAGGATACATGATCATTCAATATGAAATAGCAGTATACAAGATATTATCATGCACTAACACTGACCGGAGCTGCCACATTCGCATTTTGTACAGCTGGTTCACTGACAGTAGATGGAGTTGTTGAACCGGCATAGGAAGAAGAGCTGATCCGCCTAAAATTTCGTGAATCAAAGCGCAAGTTCTGTCGTTTAGTTTCAGAAGATGTTTGAAGTTATAGTATCCTATCATAATCGCTACCAACTCCAGCTATTGTATGCCTTTTTGAAAGACAGGAAGTATAGTCCATCCCAGTTCTAGGCCAAAACTGGCATGGCAGTATTCCGCTCGCTAGGGTTGTGCGTCACGCTCTGCGATGCGTTTGTCTGATACTTTCACTATGCCAATCAAATACTAATGACAAACAAGTAAGCAGAAACATGGTGCCAACTCGTGCCAGCAAGAAACTGTTGCCGCTGTCAAAGGGTACGAAGCTGGCAAAAAATACTATTCGAATGCAGCACAGCCGGTAATTTGAGTACGTACCACAAATATGCGGACAACAACCGACTTTTGCAAGTCGTAACGTGCTAACGTGTATTGTATTCGAAAAAGGATAGATACCTGATACATGTGGTAGAAATTGAAAGAATCCAGATAACGAAAATTCCTTTGCTAAGTCAAAGGAAAATAAGAGTAAAAACTAAAAAGATGATTCTGTTAGGAATTACCTGGATGAATGACGTGGGAAACACTGACGTGTAGGCGGTTGGCGGTTGTGAGAGTGATAACGATGATTATTTGACGTGGAAGCAAATGACGTTTGAGAAGCCATTCTGTTCTACAAAGTGAGATTGCTTACCATATGTGGAATCAAGATACTTGAGAACGGAAGAATACTAAAAGAAATGATGGCGCGCATGAGATGAATTTCTGTGGTAATATTTTGATCCCTGATGCTTGCGCTTCTGGAGAATATGAAGTACAGAAAAGCACGAAATCACTGCATATCGTAAAAGAGCATGCGTAGGTCAGAAAATAGTGGAGCAACAAAAGCAGCGATTTGATCCTCACATGTATGGAAGTAAATCCCTATATGATTGGCGCTAGTTTAAACCAGTAGCTATGAGCTAAGCATAATTCTAAAATTCCTTTTTTTTTGAAGGGAGGCGAATCCGCGCACGCGCGGCACTGAGTATGAACAGAAAAGTGCGCGAGGCATTGCTGGTCCTGGTGCGTTACGCAGCGCCTGAAAAAGGGACGAAGTGCTTCGCGCCTTCTGTTATTTCCATTCCGCTTCTTTTTATCCCGTCCTCCATCAGATAGAAGCGTGCATTCAAAATTAGACAAGTTACCGCGATGCAACTTGATGTGTGCCATAGGTAGGTGCCAGAGTAAGCGAATATTTTGTTGAGGTTGGGGTCCCGCGCAGAATTGACGTCACTTGGATTGATGTCAGCATGGTGAGTGACGTCCATTCTGCCCGGGACCCCAGTCTGAACAAAATATTCGCTTACTCTGGCACCTACCATAGTTATCGGCCATACTATCCCTGCGATTCCCATGATTTCTGCAACAACGTATCATCGACTTCACGATTCGTGTAAAGGCGGGGGGTTTTGCCAACTCAAAGCTTCAATAGCGAGAGAGTACGAAGAACAATGCTATGACATAGATATTTAACAAGTTCATCCTTGAAATTAGGGAAAGTCCGCAACCAGCTTCTACACGAGTCCTGGAGACGTCATACATTGCGAAGAAACAATGTATACTGAAATTCGCAAAGCGCTCCGTGATACGGCCATCGGAAGTCGAGGAATCACAGGAACTGTAGGAGTTACAAGAACCGCAGGGATCTCAATCTCTCCTAAAATAGTATGGCCGGTCCCGGGACCTTGAAAATATTGAACCTTTTAACTGGTGGTCCTTGCGCGAAGTTGCGTTTTTGGCCATGATCCACGTGATGGCTAGTGTGCCTGGAAGCTTGGTTCATACTTATTTGTAAGTTCCGGGATAGTTCCAGACAGCGTATGAGTTTGCAGTGTCTGAACAGGCTGGAACTTGTTTTTACGTGGCCCTAGTAGTAAATAGTGCTGTATGGAATAATTTAGTGCAATTTCAAATGTCAACCACCGTTCAAGCTTTTGGGCCATGTGCGCAAAGCGCTTCTTAATCTGTTAATCTCATAATGACTGATACATTTTTTGATGCGGCTATATATCTTGCTTGCTTTTCAGTCTCACGCCTACACCGTCGATTTGAGCCAAAGAGAGCAGATCTACAGTGCTGCAGAGAAAGTGAAAAGAGATGTGGGCAGGGTGGATATTCTCGTCAATAATGCTGGCATCGTTACAGGTTGGTTCACGAAGAACTTATTGAGTCGCTTCAGCCAGATAGCGCAGACTTTATTATATATAACCTAGTCACTTTGTGTGATTGCACTACTTTTAACGTATACATGAAACGACGACGGTACACTACATTTAGAAACAGTACCCTCCGTCTCACTCGAGAGTGAACTCGACTGGAGCGGCTCGCACTCCGCGCGACCACCTTGTTTGGATTTTGCACCTTTTTTTCGCGAATGTGCTTTCTGATTTCCCACATCTGAGCGAGAAAAAACTGAGCTTCATTTGATATAGTTGACTCGATTCAACGGGCTGAACGCCAACGACAATTGACATTCGCGCGCATGAGTATTGTAGAGCCCATACTCGACAACCGCGTTGCAGGCACGCTCATGTGCGTTCAGCCCACAGCGACCCGGGCGATCTCGTGCAGTCGACTTTAACTAGCGTAAAAAAATGACTAGGGAGCACGTCGCGAAGCAGGTGAAAAGTCCGCGAGGCGGTCACGTGCGATTCGAGTCGCTCAAGTTGAGCCCACTCCAAATGAGACATGAAGTATAGCGTATACAAAACGCAAAGACTGTAGCATTGATGCAATCACACCAAGCAAACTGCTGGAATGAGAAGCGCGGTCTTTGCGCTTTCTGGCAAATAATCCTACGCCAAGAAATATTCTATTTTAGGCAAGAAAATCTTTGAATGTCCCGATAACCTAATGGAACTCACTATGGCCGTTAATACCCATGCCCTTTTCTACGTGAGTTGATAAGTTAACTATCTATACTTTCTTCCAGTCACCGTTATCTTCAGACAACTAAGGCTTTTGTGCCAGCCATGCTGGAGAAGAACCATGGACATGTGGTCACGGTGGCCTCAATTGCCGGCAAAGTTGGCGTTTCTGGACTTGTAAGTTACATCTACATCCGATGATTGCCTGCTAGAAAAGCTGGAGTATATAAATAGCATCAGCTGTAACCCTCTTCTTCAGGTTGATTACTGCGCTTCCAAACATGGAGCTATTGGCTTCCACGAATCGCTGACAGCTGAACTTGATGCTCTTGGCAAAGATGGCGTGAAGACAACAGTTGTTTGCCCATACTACATCGATACAGGGATGTTTGATGGAGTTCAGACAAAGTAAGGAACTGTTGTTCGTCTCGGATGTGGTGCGGAAGGCGACAATTTTTGAATCTTGTTTTTCCTTTAAATACTTTTTAGTGGTGTAGTGAATGGCGGCTTGAAGAGGGGGAGGGGCAGATACATAATTCCATGCCATAAATTTCCGCAAAAGTCAGGGAGAGGGATTTTACAGGAACCGTGCATTTTGTGCGTATTGTCGCCTCTGGGCCTCTAAGGGATCGTTCATACCGCGCACAAAGGCGGACGAAGACGGACGAAGGCGGACGAAGCCGGACGAAGCCGGACAAAGGCGGACGAAGCCGGACAAAGGCGGACGAAGCCGGAGGAAGGCGGACGAAGCCGGACAAAGGCGGACGAAGGCGCGTGTGAGTGTGTGTGCGTGTCGAGAGAAACGAGACGAGACGAGACCGCGCCTTCGTCCGCCTTTGTCCGGCTTTGTCCGGCTTCGTCAGCCTTCGTCCGCCTTTGTCCGGCTTTGTCCGGCTTCGTCCGCCTTCGTCCGCCTTTGTGCGCGGTGTGAACGATCCCTAATGCTGCAAACACGTATGTCACGCCACGGTTTCTAGCGGCTTTCTGTTGTGGAAGTGTAGTTCACTTGTACCTTGTAGTAAACCACCACTGCGTTGTTTTATAAAGCGACAGAAGTTTTGGTTAGTTTGGGGTTTTGGGGTAACGTTAGTCCTCACACCTCCCTTTCGATTGTTACGCGTCATCTTTGCTTTGCTGTTTATCAAAAATCAAAGGGCATCAATTTAACTTGGTTTTGAGCGTCACATATACGTAACATATAGTAAAAATACTTCCTTTTTGGTACAAAAATCTGCTCGAAAAATTGATCATTGATCGCAGCGAAGCTGGCGATCTTGTCTATACTTCCCTTTAGCAGCTAATCGGTCGCAGCTCGCAGCCGGTCCTGCAGCATTAGTACACTTTATAAATTTGGCATAGAAGTTCGAAAACAATCTTCCATATACTGCCTATGGGCTTGGGCAAAGTTCAAGCGACTTTATCGTTGCGATTCGTCGCGACAAGACGAGTGTTACAAGTTCATTGCATGTCGATCTTCTTGTATTTCGGTTGTAATAGTCACGATTAGTCGTGCTGGAAAACTATCACAACCGAAATGCAAGAAGATCGAAATGCAATGATATCGTTACAGTTGTCTCGCGATGAATCGCGACCGTGAAATTGCGTGAACTCTGCCTGTGGCCTATCGGTTTGACCTCTTCTGAGTAATTCTTTTATTCAGGTCACCGACGCTTTTACCCGTTTTGCAACCACAATATGTCGTCGACTGCATCATGGAAGCTGTACTTACTAACAAAGAAATGATCTCAATGCCACGATTCAATTACTTCGTGATGTTTGCCATAGGGTAAGTTGTCATGCATCAGCTTTTTTTCATCTTTTCATAATAGTTTTGGAATGGTGACCCATATCGAGGATTTGCCCCCCCCCCCCAACATATTGCTCAGAAATGATGACATAGAAAATAATATTAGCGCTAATTAGGATCCTATATAATCTTCACCTTTCTAACTGCGTTCAACACATTAGGTACATGGTTCTTGAAATATAATTCACACTCTCCTGCTGTCGTAGGCGGATAAATCATCAGTCATTATCAATTTCCAGCCTGCTGCCAACAAGCGTCTTACGCGTCGTCAGAGATTATCTAGGTGGTAACTCAATGATGGATCACTTTACTGGACGCGTAAAAGCCGATTGAGGGCGTTCTTTTTAGTCTAATCTAACGCTTTTGATGTCGTCTTGTAAACCATCATTGTCTTAGCTCATGTAGTTTTCTTCGTAGTCGTTCATGTCAGGGTGCAGAGATTTTGAAAGCAAGTTAACTATTGATGAAGTCCAAGACTGGTTTGGTATTTTGACCATCGTTGCTCTAATATTTTGGTAATCTCTCCGTTATCGTGCAATAAACATTGATAATGCTTTAGCTCATTTTTTTTTCGTTGCTTCGGGTTGTTGTTGTTGCGTCCCATTGCCCCGAACCCTTTTCTTCCTCGAACTTTTGAAGGAAATCATGTTAGATCTCGAATACTTGGAGGGAGCTATGTTATGCGAGTAAAAGAGATTTGCATAGAACCTCAACAATGATTTAGTTGAACTTGAATGCTCAGGGGTACAACACACGTCTTATACGGCTACACCTCGGTCCTTTGGTATAGGCGATTCATAACCTGCAAAGACTGCGGACTTATGGGCGTCTCTGTGGTCGAGCGCTCTATCGTTTCTCCTACCATCTGCTGTTTCTCCCATGCACGAACTATCTGTGCCGGACGCAGCGGCATTCGTGTATAGCTGCATTGCTACATTCTGGCGACTGAACTTTCTTGGCAACCTTTTCTTCACTTCTGGTTGCTTGTAGTTGTGCCTGCATGCAGCTTACTTCCACACTACATGGGTACAAATCGCATCTTTGTCATCGAGTATATAGGGACGAAGGATTGGTTTGCAATTGAAGCGCGTGCGAACGCGGTGCTACGTTCCGGAGCGCATGGAGTGCAGTGGCAACTTATCTATTTCAATCCAGATTAGGAGTTGGTATGATGCGTTACGGTTTGTTATAGGAAGGACGTCGTTCTCTGACAATGCTGTTGAATTTCGCTGGCTCTATACGCTGGCAAAGGCCGGTTCAATTTGTGAGCTGAGCGCGAAATGGCGAGTTCGAGCATCTTTCATCCTTTGAGGTGTACGCTCGCGTACGCTCCGCTTATGGGCAGCCGCCTTCGTTGGGAACTAGCCTTTATGCAAGGCAGCTCTAGCGCAACATGCTCGATTCTACCTTACAAGGGAATGGTCAGAAATCGAAGTGACCATTCCAGACAAACTGGATACCGTTAGATGCAGCATGAAGCGCTGACTCTAAATCTGTCTTCCTTACCTGCTTATCGCTTTTGTGGACGATGCTATAAGCCATTAAAGACCATTATTTTGCTAAGAATTCATGCGTGAAATTGAAAATTTAGCCGTACAAGGCCACGTTCGCCTCAATGCTGGGCCAAAACATGCAGCTAGCTTACTTCTTAAAATTTTTGAAGGCAGAAGCTGAGCTAAAGGTGCAACAATGTGCTCAATTTCGCTGTTTTTATGTATGATTTTTTCCACAGAAACCGCTTCTAGCTTCGTCCACAGAAGCGAGAAGCAGATAAGGAAGACAGATTCGAAGTCAGTGTTTTATACTGCATCGAATGATATACAGCTTCTTTGGTTTGGCCACTTCGACATCTGACCATTCCCTTGTTAGCACTCCGAACTAGTTGGACTTGCACTTGCTGCGCCCTGATATGGGTGAGATAGTAAGAAGGGGTTTTCCCCGAGGTTTTTTGTAAGATGAAATATAGGAAAAATTCAGATCTATTAGCGGATATTGCCTCATAATATGAAGCGATTGCTGGAGATGTGTACTTCGATTGCTAGCCTCGACTTTGGTTGCGCGAACTTTGATTTGAGTAGCTGTAGTTTCTATCAGTCAGAGGTAGTATGATCTTGCAGGCTGATCACCTATTTAAGAATTTTTAATTTATTTTTATCTATATGTTAGTCGATTGGGCATACCATGTCATCTCAATCTTACTCGATGGTATTTAAGTGAAGATTTTTAGGCTACTTCCCTCAGAAGTTCTCACCCAGATGTCGAGATACTTTGGCACCCATGAAACCATGGAGACTTTCAAAGGACGAGTGAAGCAACACTGACTTTTCGGGAATCTCGATCCTCATATCCTAGAGCTTTATGAACCTTTTTGAAGTCTCGTCGAACCTGAGACCATATCTAGGATTTTATGTATTTCATGCTCTGATTCTGATCTTTCTGATGCATGCCTGTGGTGAAGCATCAAATGCATTGTTATGAAGAAAAGATGGATTATAAATAATATGTTAATGTAATCTGATAAGGTATTCATTTTACTCGTATAAATCGACCTCAATGTTTCTTAATGATTTCAACTTCTAGATGGCCTTTAGATCGATTTTTTCTCCACCTATAAATTCTAAAGAAATATCAATAAACAATTAAACTATTGTTCTGCTCGCAGCTGGTTGGGCTAAAATCACACGATTTGGCAGCAAGGTTTTTTAGCTGGTAGCAGCTCATTTTTTTCTTATTGCATAAATAAGCTTGCGAAGCGTCGTCTCATATGAAAATGGAAGGATATGACTTTTGATGGTTCCTTACTGATTTTTCAAACTTCTTCCCATACGACAATAATCGCATACTAAAGTTATTAGATACTTCAAAACTATTATGAGATACCTAATCAACAGACCTATTCTCTACTCACTAGGCAATGATGCCGCAATCAGTTGAACCCATAGAAGAAAAGATTCATATAATCACAGTAAGTAGTATCTATACGCTTGAGCAACCTGAATTCCTTCAATTTCTGCTTAAAGACACCATCCACCCAAAGTGAGGGTTCACGAGATTCAATGGCATACTAATGTGGGGCCTCACATTAAGCCAACCCCCAAGTTTCCCCGCAAAAGATTGCTTCCGGAGTGAGAAATCCGCTCTGGAAGGTACGTGATACGTGACCCAGAGCTGGTGGCTCCATGTCAGGAGTCACGCCGCGCGCCGCGCTGCTTCTCCGCGCACGTCGCGTCTAAATTTTGTACCCCATAAAACTGCCCGGTGTTAAAGTGGCACGGCGCCAGTCTAGGGGGGTGGAAGGTGGGGGCAGATACATGGCTCGTGCCATAAGTAAGACTGCGCCAGGAATGCTGGCTTCTGTTTTGCTGAAATCGCTTGCGGCATCGCTTCGCGAAAAATTTGCGCCGACCGTGACTCCTGACCGTTCCCCGAGCTGGTCAGTCCGCCCATTTTGCAGCTTTGGGGGCTGCTGCGCTGACCTACGCCGAGCGGGTAGAGGACTATATGTCGCCGAAAAAGGGCGATCCCCGCAGTCATTTGCGACAAATACGCACCTTTGTACATGCGCGGACATGCGTTCCTGCAGGGAATCCGCGCGGAACTCTTCCAAGTTTTCGGCGACATACGCTCCTCCACCCACGCCGGGCGACAACCGCGCCGCAGCCCTGCAAACTGCATTTCCACCCATCCCGCTTTCTCCAAAACAGGGGTTTTGGGGATTCTCGACTTCATATTCGAAGTCAGGGCCTTCAGAAGGCCCGGAAGCGACAAAAACATGGAAGTCGAGAATTTAGGTGGACGGCACCTTTAATGTCATATTTTGTGCGAATGTATGGGCACCATCTTATAGAGCTTCTTTAGCTTTATCGAGTTGTTCCGACTCTTATTTAATAAACAACAAAAATTGGCATTGCAAAACGACAAAACTTTAGTGATAATTTGGAATTCTCTGCGGTGTACTGGGACAAGAACCCTAACTTTCGTACAGGACAGTCACGAAGCAAACTACGCGTATGTCATCTTCGAGGGAAGACTAGTCAAAGCATAACAAACAAGTACTTGAAGTTGGCAAATGCCTTTTTCATCAGGTTGTATACATCCGATATTAAATGTTGACTTACTAGCCTTCAATGTGCTAAACGGTTCTTAGGCGGAGACTATTTTTCTTATTTTAATTATACAGTGACCGCCAAAAAGTTGCGGACAAGCCTCGCTCCCTTTTTCATCGCTCTATTTCAGAAGGAAAACAAGGATAGAAAAATGTAGTAAATGCATGAGGTGATAGAGCTCTTCAAGATCTACAATCTACACTTTGCGTGTTTCGAAAAACATGTATTGAAAAAATTTTAAAAAACTTTTTCTAAAAAAAGTCCGAAAATGGCCGCGTCACAATGTCGCGGACAATAATTCTTCGAACGCAAAAATTTTCTTTTGAGTCCTATTTCAAAGCGGAAACACAAGTTATTTTGAGGGTAAGCATACTACCATACAGAGCTCGTCAAGAACTACACATTGGTTATGGTTGCTTCCCAAAAAACACAAGCTTGAGTTATTTTGCTTTTTTTTCAAAAATAACTTCTAATTCTCCTTTTTAAGCCAAGTTTCTTCACATGGAAACCTATTCACGGCATTCCAACAACTCTGTGCGGATAAAGTAGATGCTCTTTACCATTCTCCATGCATCTGACGTGTGCTGATGAGTTTCTTTGGTGAAAATGGCTCTTGGCAGTGCTTGCACATGACCCCACCTGCACCTCACCACTGACTTGTACCGCTTTGCAGGCTTGTAACTCGGCTTGTAGTCAATGTGTGAGCCTGCAATTAGGCTCATTCGAAAGAACGAGACTTCCTCTACACGAAGGTATGCAAAAGAGGTGGGTATAAGAAACAGCGGAGATTTGGCGGATGGGGTGGGAAAATGCGCCCTCAGTGGTAGAGTGAGGATATCCAGCTAAAGTTGAATAGAACTTCTTTCGCTACTAGTTCAATCCTGGGAGCTTAAAACTGTCAATGTTTTTGTAATAGATCCATTTTGAAGCTCTAGAACTGTTTTGATGTTGATAAGAGCCTTCACTCCAACCACCACTGAGGCCGCATTTTTCCACCTTATCCGCCAAATCTCCGCTGTTTCTTATACCCATCTCTTTTGCATACCATCGTGTAGAGGAAGTCTCGTTCTTTCGAATGAGCCTAATTGCAGGCTCACACATTGACAACAAGCCGAGTTACAAGCCTGCAAAGCGGTACAAGTCAGTGGTGAGGTGCAGGTGGGGTCATGTGCAAGCACTGCCAAGAGCCATTTTCACCAAAGAAACTCATCAGCACACGTCAGATGCATGGAGAATGGTAAAGAGCATCTACTTTATCCGAACAGAGTTGTTGAATGTCGTGAAAGGTTTCCATGTGAAGAAACTTGGCTTAAAAAGGAGAATTAGAAGTTATTTTTGAAAAAAAAGCAAAACAAAACTCAAGCCTGTGTTTTTTGGGAAGCAACCATAACCAGTGTGTAGTTCTTGACGAGCTCTGTATAGTAGTATGCTTACCCGTTTGGATTACTTGTGTTTCCGCTTCAGAATAGGACTCAAAAGAAAATTTTTGCGTTCGAAGAATTATTGTCCGCGACATTGTGACGCGGCCATTTTCGGACTTTTTTTAGAAAAAGTTTTTTAAAATTTTTTCAATACATGTTTTTCGAAAAACGCAAAGTGTAGATTGTAGATCTTGAAGAGCTCTATCACCTCATGCATTTATTACATTTTTCTATCCTTGTTTTCCCTCTGAAATAGAGCGATGAAAAAGGGAGCGAGGCTTGTCCGCAACTTTTTGGCGGTCACTGTATATACACTCATAGTGCACCACAATAAAAAATCTGAAACCAGTAAGAAATTCTGGTAACAAAAAGACAAGCCTGTCCTCGAATTCAGGTAGAAGGAAAAATGTAGATAAATCACAAGACATATACCAAGCCCCAACCCCATAACATGGACATTCGATTGTTTCATATACAGGCCAGCAAAGGCGAAAAAAAACCGCTTTGTACAGAATAGTACTCCAAAAATAAGTAATCCAAAAATGATCGAACAGCTTCCAATCCTTACAGGAGTACATGGGTATCACACATACACCTCCACATCTGTTTCCTCAAACTACTTACAGAAATTTTGCTGAACTGAGCATGAACTAGGCGAATATGCACACTTACATCAACAAGGAGGGCGCAAACGGTTTTATTAGGCTGCTGCACAAGTTCTGTCCGATTTTTTTGCCTTGTGTTTGAAGCAGCTGTTCTAAGAGAATTTCATCTCTTATGCGATATTGTTAGTATCAGTAGAAAGTGCTTTTCTTGCTCTTTCTAATGCATATCAAATTTCAGTAGATTCTTTAGTGTATGGAAATTTCGGGCCTGAAATCTTCAAGTGGGCGAGGTACGTTCTTACCCTAGAAATATGTTCTTGCGTGAAAATCTCCACAGTGCGCCCTTCAACTCAAGTTCTTCCGTTGGTTGCGGAATAAGAGTGTATAGGGTGCGGAAAAAGTACTGTCCCTCCAGTTTGGCTCCTGAAACACCTCAAACATAGAGCAAATCTGTAATTTTTTGAGTCCCGTGCGTAGGCGAGATCCTTGAGATTAGTTAAAGACAAGTTTGATTTGAAACTTTCCCTTCTGTCCGTTTGAACGAGTGATAATAGCGCGCATGAACATTAACGATGCGCCGATAGCATACAAGCGCGAATTTGGACCCCAACTATACTACCAGTAACGATAAAAGGTTCAAATTGTGCTGGTATGTAGCGCATGACCTCTTCTCCAATATTCTGTATCCATTATAGACGAATTATAGATTGGTGACTCTTGTTTTGGCCAAATAGGGAAGATTATATCATCCGAAAATCGCAAAAATTCTTGAAAAGAAGCGAGTTAGGACTGCGCTTGCTTAATGAATTGGATTCAAGCTATGATTTGAATTTCCAGATTCGAAAAAAAAGTAACAGGAATAATGAAAAGAGCATCGGACTTTGTCTACATCACGATTTTGGAGCGATAAACGATTATACCTAGTTTCTGTGCCACGTTTTCTGATCGCACCCTGTTGCGCCGCAGACGCTATTCCTTTGAAAAACTTCCCAAATTTTCTCCTACTGCAACTGCGGCCTGGCTACTTCCAGCAAATTTTGAAGACACTACAACATTCCTCAAGCAATAGAGGATTTCTCAAATCCACGTTGGAAACAAAAATTTCGCAAAAACTTCACACTTTCTTCACACTTGTAAAAGGGAGTTGCAAGGCTTGATATGGGATGCGTTGCGAAAAGGGATCCACCACCGGGTGAGATTGCAAAAATTTTTAGCCAGTTTCTGTAAAGCGCTAGAGTACATTCACATCTTAGGATTTGTGTCAAGTTTACCAGAAAAACCTAAGAATTACGCCGATTTTTTTGGCTTTATTTTGAGGGACAGTACTTTTTCCGCACCCTGTAGAAGGCTAGTATATGTATAAGCTCAATTTTATGAAGAAAATGTCTTGCTTGTAAAATTTGTTGTCGAACATTAATTTTTTGTAAAGATGTTCCACAAGCAATAATTTCTTGCAAATAGAAGTAATCGGTGAGCTCAAAGTTTGAGGTGCCAGGGTAAAGCAAGAGCTAGCAGGGCCCACCCACCAATTCCTTTTCGGCGCTCACATCACTCGTAAAATTTTCATAGTTCTTAGATAGACATGGACGCATTGCTGCAGCGAAGTCAAAAAGTGGCATCTTTTTTGCTCGGTCCAAAAAAACTCTCTGCAACGCAGACCTTATGGGCTCTTTCATGTTGCAAAATAATCTACGAAAAATCCCCTATCTATTCATTGTTAGACAAGATGCCTTTCAATCCTCATAAGGGAGCATTGCCATGTCAAAAAAGACAGGTTCGAAGAAAAACGCTGTAAAGTTTTTGAGTATTTGCTTCTCCCTTAGCATGGATTTTTGCAAGTCTCAATATGATTCTGATATGATTCTGATAGCCAAGAAACTGCTCAACATAGAGAAACTAAGATCTTGGAAAAAAGTTGACTTTGAAAAGTTATGACATTTTGAACTCAAAAATTCAAATCGGACAGAACTTATGCAGCAACCTAATACAACGGGCAGTTCTATCATTCTGCTTTATTATTTGACAAAGACGTATGTACATAGCTCTTTAAAGTTATATTATTATCTCTGTTTCTGGCTGGTTGAGAAGATGACTGGCGAAATCAACTTCAAACCAAAATTCACGACATCGCTTTCCAAATGAAGAGATAACGCCACGTCTGTAAATTCGGCTCTGACTTTGGCACTTGAAACTTCTGAAGGGATCGGCCATACTATTCCTGCATTCCTACGACTCCTGCGATTCCTGCGGTTCCCGTGAGTCCCGCACAGTTTAGACGCCGCTTAAATGAGCGCTTGTTGCGTGTTACGTGTTGTTTTACGCAACACGCGCTAATTTAAGCGGCGTCTAAATTGTGCGGGACTCACGGGAATCGCAGGATTCGCAGGAGTCGTAGGAATAGCAGGAGTAGTATGGCCGATCCCTTCAGAAGTTTCAAGTGCCAAAGTCCTTGCCGAATTTACAGACGTGGCGTTATCTCTTCATTTGGAAAGTGATGTCGTGAATTTTGGTTTGAAGTTGATTTCGCCAGTCATCTTCTCAACCAGCCAGAAACAGAGATGGCCGATCCCGAATGCTCGAAAAAATAATAATTGCCGTGCGCTCGCTGCGTACGTAATTGCGGTCACAGGTGGCGCAGCGGACTTTCAAAATTTTCGTAATGCAGCTTTTTTACCTTCAGCAATTCTATTCTTTCTGCTGTTGTTGTTAATTTTGATTTCAGTTTAGATACACTGTGTTTAGGCGTAGCCAAACCAACTCAAGATATCTGTTACTGGTATGGATTCCATTTACGATACAGAGGTTGTTTTCACCGAGAGCTTTGCGCCAAAACCAGTGCGGACGTTCGTAGTGAATACTAGTAAGTCTCAGCTCTTCTTTTTTGTCTCAGGAGTTTTGATTTTTTGAATGTCTTCAGATGCCGCTTTGCATTCCATCAATGCAAATGTTGAGCCATCTTCAGGCGTTTGCACGTTTCCCGCGAACAGTCAGTTCCCTGATCGCTTTATTCTTTGGTATGTTCAATTTACACTTTATTACGAGTTATTGATTGGTTGGGCACGGGAGCTCATGCGTATGCTTGCAGCAATGAACAATGCACTTGCAATAGAATCGCAAAGATGTTACTTGTAGCGCATTTAGATCTGTTATCAAACATACTCTTGTTTGGACTTCTCATCTCAGTCACTTCCTCAGTCTTCAAACCATTGTGAAATTCATTCATTTAGGAGAGCAGTTGGGCAGAAGCTGTTTCTCGAAGAAAGGTCTTTGTGCCGTACGATAGTAGATGGTACGCTGTGTCTCGACTTCTCGCGAACAGCAATCCTGCCTGGCTCGTCGGTCTCTTTATTCGACCAGAATGTCTTATGCATCGTAGTACCAACACAAACGACTGTGCATCGATTTTGTGCTCGTCTCGTCCATGATCCAACGGAATTAGTGGCAGAGCGGGTGCGCTTAGTTGTGATTGTTTATTTTTCCTCACATGTGCAACATAGAATGTGGATGGTATAGATTTCTTCCATACTTTCGCAAATAGTCGAGAAGGAATTTCTTGTTGATAATCATACCTTCTATCAACTCACAACCAACGGGCATGCGTTTCGCGCATCTGTTATACACGAGCCGCAGTTTACCAAGGTGTGTTTATCCTCATTTAAAGTACGTAGTGAACTTTGCAGTCTATCGTTTAGATCTCATATTGCATGGCTGAAGGACAATTGGTTGTTGTCACCCTACATGCCAATAAATGTGAGTAATGTCAAGAAAGGACTGAGCTCGCTTTCCAACAACGTTTAATTCACTGCGTTTCTTTCCCAGACGATAAAGCAGAAGAAGTTGTGTTCCGTGAGTATGGGTTAATGAAGCGGCTTTTGGGCGAGGCTTCATCAGGAGGTGTTTGCGATGTATCCGGTCTCGCAGGAGTGCGAAATGGGCAAGAAGCGTTGGAAGATGTTTATTACGCTATATATCGTGACGGTACATTACGTGCCTGGAATGCTGAGGTCTATATCCGTCTAATCTTGAACGAAACAAATGTTTTGCATTTTTAGACTGAGAAAGTTCGTTCAATTGATGTTTGTAAGCTCGATCTCACTGTGGACTATGGCGATACCTACTGTAAGTATACAGATTATGTTTATTCAAATCTTTTTAGAGGAAACCTATGTGCTAAGCTTACGTCGGTCCTGCTCATCTGTCAGCTTTTCCTTTTTTGTCACTACATTACATGTAGAATACATTCTTTATCAGGATCTATATTGTTTAGTGAAATCTTTTTTCGTGAAGGCTTATCTGATAGACTCACAAGCTGTCATTGTTGTGGCGATTTCTACTTCTAGAAATACTCAGGTCAGCCGCTTTATCACTGTTATTGCTGAATCACTGCTTTACCTCCAGTTAATTATAGTATCGGTTTAGTTTCACTTCGTATCGGACAAGCACCGTAAACTCACGCATATGTTCAGTATTGTTGCCAAAAATGTTAGTTTTAAAGATTCAGTCATTTTTTAGTTCATAGATCCTTTCCACACATTCATGTATGTACCTCTTCTCACATTCTATCAATTTTTTTTGTTAAGGATGAAACATTGCTAGACTTTGGACTTACTCACAAAAACCCTGCTGCGCGTTCCCTCTGGGTCTTATGGAACTCGATGTCAACTGCAAATGAGTATATTCTTAAGCACGTGGATGTTGACATGTATGAATTTCTAGGTTCCTTATAGAGCTAACTATTGTTTATTTCTGAGGAAATTCCTCAGAGTTTTGCTTTCTCTATTTTCTCAGCTAATAAGAGAATTTAGGTTGTTTAGATCACCCCAACATGTGGGAACTTGGCGTAAAGTACGGCCATACGCAGTTCGTAGCGCTGTCTCGCCTAGCATGACTGCGGCTGAATTGAAGAATTTGATTTTCAATGTGGATTCACATCCGTTTGATATTGTTTTCAGATCAGTGCAGGTATGTCTTAAGCATGCTCATTTCTAGCGTTCCTATCTCTACATCAAAACGATGTACCCTAATTTCACGCGTATAAGGCGTGGAGGATTTTTTTTCCAAAATCGACCAGCCCAAACAAGCCAAAGGACTTTACAACCAAAGGACCCTATGACGTGCTATATATTGCTTGAGAGAAGCGTGCGATGTAAGGACTTCTTCCCGGAATGCAGTGAAGCGGCTGAGCGGCTTGCTTGAAATTTCGAAAAAGTGCGCCTTATACGCGTGAAATTAGTGTAATCGTTGTGGCGCTTCTAAAACCGTCACCTTACAAGTTACTTCCTGAAGGTAACTCATTCAAACTATGCGAGGTTGCCAGGATCATTAGTACTAGTTGTTCTTATGGAATCGCAGTTTGATGAAAATTATCTTACAAAATCTCAAATATTGTATGTCTCTTAATTCCAGATAGTTTGTCAAGGCTTGAAATGTGAATGCGCTCATGGAGACTGGTTAGCATTAATCGCGCATGTGGACGCATACCTAAGATCTCCAGAGGTATGAGTATGATTTCTTCATCAGATATCAAAATCATGAAATGGGTATCTTTTCATGTTGTATGTGTTACGGTGTAGGAATATTTTCGATAGAGCAATATTTGAAGTACCACTGAAGTTAGGTTAAATATGAATTATTTAGTTTGACGCTCACTACGCCCAAAAAGGTGGCCGCTCAATCAAGTCATCTTCGCTTGATGCTCAAAAAGAAGGCGAACAAAGGTATGCAATTTTCTCTTCTCTGAGTGAACCTAGTTATCTTTCGTTTGCAAAGTCACAAGCACTCCTCTTCTTTCTGTTCCCACTTGTCTTCAATTGACAAGCTTTTACAGTTTAGGTTCTTTTATTCCCTCGGGTGCACTTGCGATCAACTAGAACAGGCTGCTCGTGGCCCAGTCGGTCTTTTTTTGCTCGATATGCCAGGGTCATTGTTGGCAGGAGTGGTGCAACAGGTTAGTGAAGGCAATCCTATTAGTGGAGTTATGCTCGTTAGTGTCTATTAAGGATCGCTTTTCTGTGGTTGTGGAGGGTGAAAGGCAAATGGTAGACGAGCTGGAGAGTTCTACACCTGAAGGCATGGATAAAATGGTCTCTATCGCATTGGAGAGAGCTGCGGCTAAGGTTTGATATCTGTTTATCTAGTCCAAAATTGTTGAAATGTTGATGATTTCTTGCCTTCACTTTTTTTTCTTCATTATGTTAGATTCGTATCACGAGAAGAGGATTTTTGTTTACTGGGCGCTTCAAGTACCATTTATTTTCGAAATTCAGGAGGAAGACGAGCTTGGGCTATCTGAGTACTTGATGTCGGACGGACCCGCCCATGATTCTACTTTCATGCGATCACAGACTGTGAGATTTGACATGTGTTTATCGGATATCAATGATTGCGCATTTTAACATAGGTGGTCCAGAAATGGTCTCAAATCATTAGTTTGTTTTTGGAAGCCATCCAAGCATCTCAATCTCCCACAGGTATCAGCTTGTATAGCATCTCGCTTATCCTTTGTTTGAATGAATGATAGTACAGTAGAGCCGACTCCCGAAGACAGTTTATTTGGTGGGTCCTTTACTTGCGGACTCATAGCAGCACGACTACGGCACGTGGTGAAACAGCGTCTTGATATTGCGCGGAGCTTGCTAGCATTAATTCAGCTCTACTCTGAAGACAGTGTGGGTAAAAACAGTTTTCTCAAGTTTGTGGTAATTCAATAAAATTTCAGGGGCGTTTCGACTATCCGATGTTTGAGTTTTCTGATCTCGAGAGGAAACTCAGCAATATCATCAATCATTATAGATTGTTTGACGATCAGCTGTCTCTGAAATTGGCAAAGTGGGTTTGAATAGACGCATACGTCGTCCCAGATATGCGCAATCTAGTGTCTCGAAATCTTTCTAGGGATAATGTGCAGGTGTCTCTATGTAGTTGGTTCTTCAAAGGAGAGGGCGTGGATTGGCTGAGTAAGGTAGCGCACATAGGACGTTTTGAAGAAGCTGACCCATCCCCGGAATTCAACGTTTTTCTGGACAAAATACTCGAGGTATAATTCAATGCAATGTCGTTCTTGTTTTGTCAAACAGATTATGTCCAGGCTGGATTACTATTTCTATCACCATATTCCACGCAGGTCTTCTTGGCCAGATCTTTAGCATTGCATGAGAAGTATGCAGTTTTGATGGTAGGTGTCTTTGCAAGTAATTTAAAATACCCTGAATGATTTCATGTTTTCCATTATGTCACGCAATGGACTTGGTGCATTTAGAACCTTTGCACTTTATCTGCAAGCAGTATCCCTGATGAACTTCGCCCTGTCATGACATTTTACAGTGCCATTGCAAACTCTGGAATAGGAAAACCATTGAAAGTTTGTAATGCAAGCAGCTTTTTAGTAACTTCGGTATGCACTGGTAGCTCTTTTAGGCTATGACCAATTTTAATCTTGCCGCTAAAGGAGTAACCGATCAGAACAAGGCGCTTCTGACTGCTTTGTCACCTGTTGGCAAAACCCAAGAGATCAACCTCGGAGATTACTACGTAATGGTAAGATGTCTTCACATATCTCAGAAAAATTTAATGGTGTTTATTAGGCTTTACGGTACCTGCATGAGCACAGGCACAGCGAAGAAGTGGTTGAAATGGCTAGGAGTGCTGTAGCTTCTCTGCCTCCCGGTCACGAGTGCACCGTAGGTTTTTCTTTCCTTTGTCGTGATGCTTACAACGTTATGTCTCTTTAGTCTCGCATCTACGTTACACTATTCAATCACCTCGTTAACCAAGGCAACTGGTGCGATGCTCTTGAAAGTATCATGCAGAACAGTGTAAGTCGAGGTTGTTCATGATCTCGGATATGTTTTGTTTCAAGGACCAAGAAATAAAGATAATGACCTTGCGCGAATTACTATCTCGAATGTTGCACGCACGGGATTGGAGGTCCATTGTGGAGCTTTCTTACGGAAAACTTGAGGAGGAGGTAACGAAATGATTCATTTTTAATTAGGGTTAACTTTCACACCATTTGATGAGTATTTGAAATTGCGAATTTCCTGTGGATTGTTTTCTTAAGACAGGCGTGACCCTATATCTTCTGACCTCATGCCATTTACTTACAGGTGGAGAACATCCTTCTGACCGCCGCGAGAACGCAGGAAGCAACTGCAAGTCCACATCTGTTCAAACTGATCTTTTCCTTCTACATGAAGAGGAGTTACTTTGAAAGCGGTGAGCTTCTCTGAAACGCTTTGGATCTCTTGTAATGTTTTTTTTTGTGCAAAATTCTCGAGTTCAAAAGGTATGTTTACCATGTAAGGTAGGGGATGTCTAGACTATTACATGTGCTGCGCACTGACGCGTACACTATTTCAATCATTCTGTGAGCAAGAGACGTGAAGCTGTTTGCACGCATTGCTTAAACACTTGTCTTTGTTGTTTCCTTTTTCCAAGTAACAACTAACCCCAGATCAGATAGATCAAGTAGAGACTTGTCAACCGCACGATCCAAGCTTGTTTTGACGATGTGTTCAAAGCAACTTCGACTCTCTCACCAGGGAAGACACTTTGGTCGAAGTGGCCGTATGGAAATTGATGCATATGGATAGATAGCTCTTCGAACGTTGATCTCAAAACTGCTTTCGCTGTATGCGGAGCGTTTCGTAAAAGGAGTTATGAGCCTTTGTTCTTCCCAAAAGCGGCCTTCCCTTTATCAAGGCGCGGCAAGGCATTTCCGTTGTGGCGGCGTGGTGTAGTGCTAAGTGACTGCAGTTTACGGGTGAGTAAACAGGGTTCGAGTCCTGTTGTCTCCCACAGTTTTGCATTTTTCCAAAATTATTGCTCGCCTTTGAAAATGCCTCATATGAACGGCTTTATGCATAGTATTCTTAATTCTTTTGCGTTGGTAATCCGAAATACGCTTATTCTTGTAAACACTTGTAGAATTGGGAAGAGATTGGATATTGAAATTTTATGCCATTTTGGACATTTCACGACAGTTCCTGATCTGTAGCTAAATAATTGTTCTACAGTTGGCCACATTCAGAAATTGATCACTTATAGCGAGATTACGATAAACTGCCCAATGTGGCATTTTCAAAGGCAAGCAATAATCGTAGAAAAATGCAAAACTGCTGAGCGACTGTGGGACTCGGATCCTATTTACTCACCAGTAAACCGCAGTACCACTACACAACGCCGCAAAAGGGAAAGCCTTGCCGCACCTTGATGAAGGGTAGGCCGCTTTTGAGAAGAAGAAAGGCTCATAACTCCTTTTACAGAAACGCTCCGCAGATAGCGAAAACAGTTTTAAGATCAGCGTTCGAAGAGCTGTCTATCCATATGCATCACCTTCCATATGGCCACTTCGACCGAAGCTCTTCCCTGCTCAATCGCAGAAGAAGACTCTAATCATGATGTTGGTCCACCTATTCCGCTCTGATTCAAAATTCGTAGCAAGATGCAGAGGAGGGGAAGTAAAGAGGCTAGCAGGCTTTTAATTTGTGGGGGGCGGTGAAAAGAGACCGATTTCATTTTTTTGTTTGGGAGGTGGCCGGTTTTGATTCGATTGGCTTTGAACTTAAAGACTTCAGCAGCACGAGCTCAGTACGAGTACGCTTTCGTTTTGCGCACACAAGCTGAGCAGACGCCTGACCTACTGCTCAGACGACGAGATGCTCTAGCAGTTGCTTCTACGTTGCTGGACCTTTTACCTATCGAAAATCGCTTTTTGTCGTTTCCGCATGAGGTGATAAGGTACTCAGAATATCGCAGGAATCGATCAGTTTTCGAAATTTAGCTCGACGAAGAAATTGACGGAGACGAAGTAGTAGAATCTTCCACGGACATCACACAAGAGATGATAGATGTTGCAATGGGCGATGTTATCGCAGACGAATTGAATATGGAGGTGCCGAAGCGGACAGCTGTTCGTAGGAGAATGTTCATACTTTCAGCGGAAAAGTATGTTTCAAGTGCAATGATCAACTCATATATGCACGGATTCGTTTGTAGACTGTGTGAAGAATGGGTGATTGCAAATGCTCGTGTGGCGTTGTTATCCACTGGTAAAGTTCCACCAACTGAGCCAAAGGAAATAGTGGATAGTTTGATAGATATCAAGAACTACGATGTTGCGTTTGATGTGTGCAGGTGTGTATAACTTCACTTTTCAAATTATAGTGGATTTCCTCATTCTTTCTTCTTTTTTTTGACCTCGTATTTGACATTATGCGTTACTTCTACTGAGTGTTATCATTTCTAATTACTTTATTCATCTTAGACATTGTGACGTCTCCATATGCGACGTTTTATATGCCGTAACTCGGGAAGCAATTATGGTAGACGCAGATCCACCAGAGGGTCCTCCAGCTTGGGTGCAATTGAATCAACGGAGAGCAGAAAAGCGTCTCAGGTAGTTTCAGCTTTTGTCAATATATCTTTGCTGTAATCTCTTCGTAGCATGAATAAATTGCTTTCTTGTTCACAGAGGTCACTGGGCCATTGTACGAGGACTGCTAGCAGCTGCTCAACGAATCTGGCCAAATGATTCACGCCCCTTACGCGCGATTACTCGCGCAATTCTCAGTCACAATGTCCCTATACCTTGTTGGCTTGACGCAGAGTATACGGTGCGGTCGTTATTGCCATTTTAGATGTTGAATCGTATCACATAGTTATTGCAGGAAAACGATGTTAATGGTTATTTGCGGTGCCTTATTGAATACGGTGCCGTTAAGCAGGGTCTAAAGGTGGCAGCGAATTGTGTGGAAGAGGAGACAAAGAAGGTGAATTCTTTTCGTATACTTTTTTTGTATCTCAAAGCATTATTTTTTATGTGTGAATTTGCTTTAGGTGACGTCAACTGACTCTAGAGTTTGGTTGCCAATTACCGCCATCAATGATTTGTTGGATTTGGGAATGAAATGCAAGGAAACAGCTGTGAGGACCATATTTTTTTCTTCTTTCTAAATACTGTGAACGCTAATTTTAGCTACTATCTGCCCTCAACGAAAGGATACGCTCCCATTTTGCTCGTTTGGATGGTTTTGAGAAAGCTGCTAGATTGTCGTGATAGCTAGACTTTCTTTCCTCATAACGAAACAAAATACTTGTTGAAATATTTTGCAACTGTGCGAAATGGAACTCGATAATGTTGTTGGTTTACTTGTTGGATTTCTTATTACGGTTATGTAATGATCTTTCAATCCTCTGCTCATATCACGTGCATGAAGTATGAGAAGATAACGCTTCTGATTTATATAACTGTTATTATCATAAGGTATCTCTAAGCGTAGTAGTGCTTGGCAACGCGTGCTCTTCGCAACTATCACTGCTTACCGATTTGCTTAGGCTGAACTGGCTTTTTTGTCGCTCAATCATGGATGATAGCGATGTTCTCATACTGGACTCTCCGCCAAACACTCAAGATCCGGAGGTTAGTTTTAGTTCTTATAATTTATGTCACTACTCTACTTCGTCGTTATTGCTTCAAAGTCATCTCCGTTTGCTTCACGAAACTTTTCCTTATTTTCCCATTGCATTTTTCCAGAGCTTTCCAGTCGAAGGTATACCGCTTTCATACGATGACGATCCGGGGAAGCGTTTCTCGTTTGGACTAAGTGAGCTTTCTCGACGATCTCTGTCGCAGCCTGTGCCCGTACAGCAGCAGCAATCCATAGGTGATGTCCAAATCTAGTTTTGTTCAGCTTTTGACATGTTCGGCAAGCTTTTTGTTTTCGGAAGTTGATGAGGTTGCGCAGTCGACACAAGCTAGGGCCCTAATAAGCCCTCGTAAAAGAAAGCTATCAAAAGTTCCAACAATACTCGATGAATTTTTCGGAGTCTATTGCTTGATCAGCAGAAGTCCGCTGAAACACTACAAAGTTAGTTGCTGCGAATTAGATCCTCTCTTTTTTTCAACGTTAATTTGTTTTAGAATCGCTGTTATATCGGGTACACAGTTGATCCCAATCGTCGCATACAACAACATAATGCAGGTAGAGAAAAAGGAGGAGCAAAGAAAACAGATAATAGAGGTCCTTGGTGAGGACTTGCAATGATTATTTTCTACTTATGGTTTGTTTCATTGATTGGTTCGCTTTCAGGGAAATGGTGTGCATAATCCATGGTTTTCCGAATAGTGTGGCAGCACTGCGGTTTGAATGGGCGTGGCAAAATCCAGAGAAATCTAGAGTAATCAAAGACTTGGCGCTGAAGAAGAGCAGGAAAGAATCACCTTTTGCCTATAGGTGAATGACTGGGAGTATATGTTTGCAAAGCGATGCAAATAAATGCTCTCATTGATCACTGCTTACGCATTGCATATAGTAAGTACGGGAAGATTCGTTTCTTTAGGCTGCGTGTTGCATGCCACTTGCTCAACAGTCGGCCTTGGAATCGTTTCGCACTCACATTTCGTTGGCTACTCCCGGTTTGTTTACCTAAACATTGTATGCTCAGCCGCACCTCAAAGATTCTGTACGACTATTTCGATGGTAATTTTCAGCTCGAGGAACTTCCATTTCCAGAAGAAATGCCGCCTCCCAAACATCTGGTAAAGAAGTATGGTTTGGTTGAAAAATCGACCAGTGAAGTATATCCCGAAAAAGACCGATATGTGGAAAGAGGAGAATGTCGCATTTGTGGTGAAAACATCCGAATGGTGAGCAAATTTACGAACATAGTTCCATATCGACATTGATTCTTTTATGCAGTTGAGCCATCTGGTACGATGTCCTGCATGCTTCGCTCATTTCCATACAAAGTGCTTAGCAACCCACGGTCTTGGCGAAGAACGCTGTCAGCTTTATCCGCTGGATGGAGACTGTCCAAGGTATCTTTGTGGTTTGGACATCTTTATACTTTTTGGGTGTTGAGGCACGCACCCATGCAGATTCCGCCATAGGTATACATGTGCTGAGCTACAGCATGCCCACACCTAGTAGTTGAGTATGATAACCTACAAAGATTGTTGTATATGATGTATCGCCATTTCAGCTGCGGATGTCGTTATCTTTGGGGTGATGTTATCAGGGATCAACATAACATCTTACATATCAACGAAGCGCAGACTGACACTTCGTTGAAAGGCTTGGTACCAAAACACGATTGATATGGATTGTGGTAAAGGCAATTCATAGCACGCAAAGACTGCGGACTTATCGACGTCTCTTTGACCGAGCGATCTTTCGTTTCTCTTACCATCTGCTGTCTCTTCCTTACACGAACTATCTTGGCCGGACGCAACGGCGCCCAGTTTGCGCGTCACGAATCTTGTATACTTGAAATGAATTAATTCTGATAATTTCATCTTCGTTCGTACACTGCCGTAACCGACTCTTACTCATCCTTTGACTGAAGATACTTCCTCTATTTGAGTACTGGTTAAATTCTGTGATCGTTATCGTTTCGTTTCATTCTCTAATTGTAATACAATGTCTGTTTCACAATCTTTTCTCTTTCCAACCTTCGCGCTTAACTTATTTTTCAGTGTGCTTGCTATCTTACTGTTAGACCATTAATGTAAATATATTGCACACTCCCTCATCATGAATGTTTCGTTTTGCATTGTTGATAAAAGTTTGCGCTGACCTTCAAGTCGCAGAGGAACAGCGTTGTATTGTCGCTTTATTACTTTCTGTGGCAGCTTCCAGCCCTGTATATCGAATCCTCTCGATCTCAAGATTTAGACAGAATGATTATTCCTATTCGCTGTTTCACTTGTGGGAAGGTAATCGGCAATAAGTGGGAGGCTTACCTTGGTTTGTTACAAGCGGAGTACACTGAAGGTAGGTAAACGTCTTTTTTTTACAGCAGGCTACAACGGAAATTTGTTTTTAACTTTGCGTGTCAACAAACTACTTATTCATTTTCAGGCGATGCTCTGGATGCTTTGAATCTTCGCCGTTATTGCTGCCGACGTATGCTTCTTTCTCACGTGGACCTTATTGAGAAACTTCTCAATTACCACCCACTGGAAAAGTGATTGCTATGTGCTGCGTGTCCTTTTGCTTGTCCACTATTTTTCTTATTGTGATCGATTACGAGCATACGGTTGGAGTTTGACTTCTAGATATATTTGAACAATCTTGTTGAATTTGATTTGCGTCACGCAGTAAAGATGGAATTCTTATTGTCTTCTCGCGAGGTAGCGGTCATTGTCCGCATCTATTATTTTTCTTGTGAATCTCGTGGTCTCCCTTCTATTGATCACCTTGCGTTGATCCATACTAGTACTCTCTAAAGAAGAGAGCTTTGCTAAAGTCCCTTCCTCAGCAAAGGCAACACCAAGCTATAGACGATGCCATTTTTCGAATCATCTCATTTCCTCTTTGTTGGCACTGCTCTAAAAAATGTCAGAAAAAGTTTGAAGTGATGCCCGATCGGTGACGAACTAAAGATGGATCACGACAAATAGAGGCGCAATCAGTGACGCGCCACAACTGAAGAAAAATTTATACTGATACCATTAGACATATATCATGTAACAAAGAATGCAGCAAAAACTCACGTCAATGACAAGGGGAACAAAGCACGCAGGAAAGACTTCAAGTGCATACAAATTTGGGGGAAGTAATCCAATCACTTAGAATCGTTTCAGACCAGAAAGATTGTAATAGTGAAATGTGCGCACCGATAGCATACCCAATCTACTGTAACAAGATAATGACAGCAATGGCTGCAAATGTGATGAGTTGAGAGTCGAAACTGAACATTAGCGGCATCCGAAGGAAAAAGCATGGAAGATGAAAGGTATAGGGAATGCACGCAGCGTAATAAAAATCTGATGATCATGCGCTCCTAGATAACAAAGCTGCCAGCGGCAGCTACAGGCTGCTGGCGACGGCTACAGGCTGCTGGCGGCGGCTAAAGGTGCCGTATGAAGGCATCCTGTCAAATCTGGCGGATATCATTTGAGGCACGGAATTGTTCTAGCTTTCACAAGTCCGACCTCATGCATTTAATTGCGAGGATTTTGAGCTTGAGGTTTTTTTCTTTTCCCGCCCGTTTCGTTTTGCTGAACTTGTGTATAGAAGCGCGCGAGAAAGGAGAACAACCCACCTCAAACCGCTCAGCAACGTGATTCTGAGTGGATGAGACCGGATGTAAAGCTGGTAGTTTACAAGCAAGCTTCTCCAAATCATTGTAGAGGAGTGTTTTATATGTGTAACTAACTTTTGGTTTCACCATGGATATTCGAAATTGCGAAATGCGATGCGGAATTTAAGAAATGAGTTACCGGGTTTTCGCAATACGTTAATTGCCACCTGCAGCACGCACAAATCGTCATCTGCACAGGGACTGTAATTTCACTATTTAAAGACATTTTGCTAGGAAACAGTTGCAGGCAATCCATGGAGAGTGTTTAGTAGGTCATGCGGTCTCTATCCAATGCCCTTCTGTTTCCTTTGCCCATTTTGTATGTTTAATCAGTTTGTAACTTGATATATGCGCGTTTGCACGCCACACTCTCCTCACATTTTGGGCCGCTACAAATGCGCCAGTTCTCTTAATGTTCACAAAAAATTTCTATCTGTAATTTTTTTGAGACTTGTTCTTAAAAGAAGTGCTTTGTCCAACAAGTCATTGTTCACAACTAGTGTTTCTGGTTGCGAGAATGCTTTTTTCCGTCTTTCCTCAGTCTTCAATTTCCCTTGATGTGTTGAACTACATGATTCACTTTAAGAGTTCTTCTGCGACAGCTCCAAGAAACGGAAACGTTGATCAAATTTTTCTGCTTCTCCATAACGCATTGTTACTTCTTAAATCTTCTCTTCTTCTGTTCATTTTTCGTCCTTGAGTTTTCCTCTGTCAATTCTGTTTCCAGCTCAAAGTATTTGATGGAATCGATAGAAGTTTTGTTCATTTTTCCCACATACTTTAAAGCATCCACTGACCTTACCTAGATCCTCTCTTAGTTTCGGACATGGTTCAGCCCTGACCTCGCCAGAATTCCAATAATGTCTTTGTCATTCACTGTTATTTATAGAAGGGGTAGTGGGTTTACGCACCTTTTATCTTATGGCGCGCATACTTGATCCACTCAATCCTCTTCGTCCACTTCCCACTTCGCTATTGGTCAGTTCACTGATTTGATCAATAGCGAAGTGGACAGAGTGAATTACGCAGATTAAGTGGATCAAGTATAACGTGTTTCTATGAAGGCTTATCGGCGGGTTCGCTACCCTCCATTGTGCTACTACCACCCACGCCGCTGTCAGCACTAAGTAGGAGCTACTAGCGTGAGAAAGCTCAGAGAGAGCGTTTTTGCATTTTTGAGCAGAGAATACCTAGCGGATGGCTTTATGTTTGTTGCTCTAGAAAATTTTGGGCAACCATCATTTGAACTATTCTTGAAAAAAAAAACGCTTCTAGCCTCTTTTGCTCTTACGCTGAAGTTGCGGTCACGGTAGAGAAATATTCTACGTGCCGTATAAACGATACCCTAGTTAGAGCGTTTGCGCTACAACAGAGTAGGTACGCGGATAACTTGTTTGTGCAGACAATAGGATCCTGCCAACACTATAACGGAAGCTCAATCGTTAAGTTAATTCCAGTCTTTACGCAAAACTGTAACGCAGAAAAACTACACCTTTTTGCTTTGCAACCTTGAAGACCGGATATTTTCTTTTGATTAGCATCTTGTTTGCATTGCAATCCTGTCGAGAATGCAATAAATTTGACGGAAGGCAAGAAAAGTTAACAAGGGAAGGATAAGCATAATGTAAACCAAGAAGAGATGTATATTATCAGACGCATCTTTAGATGCTCGTTTCAAATCTGCTTTGCGTTTCTGTGGAACAATTCTCCGAAGGGAGTTATGAGCGTTTTCATGTCCAAATTTGTCAAGCTTAAGCGGTTAAAAAATGACGAAAGCTTTACAACTATGCGGATTTCCACTAACTATGTTCCTCTTTATAGTCAAAATACTTGGCACAAAACTGATTATCCACTTTCGGGTGTTTTTGCAAAGCTTTTCGCTAATTTTATGCCACTCAAGATTTGACATTTTTAGAGAAACGCTCATAACTTCTTTCGGAAAGTTGTTCCGCAGAAACGGAAAGATTTGGATTCAGCGTTTGGATTGCATCTATTGATATCATTCTATTTTTGTTTGCCAGATCATGTTGGTATCCTTCCCTTATAAGAATAATTTTCCTCAATTTACAGGTTTGTGATTATGTAGAGTTCAAAAAAAAATGCAAGACATTCCGCAGCGCGTCTTGTGACAGGAGGTGTGTCAGCGAACTTATTGCGTCGGGCGAACATCCGATTTGTTTGCAAGTCTCAGTCTGCGCTATTCGTTTGCACCTTGTGAGAAAGCGGATATTGAAAAGTGACCCTGTCCGGGGGTTGTACGTCTGCGCGTCGATGCAATTTGCAGTGTCTTCACGGCGTACGACCTTTGCTGCGATGCGCGGCTGCGACGACGTCGACGAGCAGTTCGATTTGGTCGTTCGACGTCGCGCATGTGAGCGGTGCCCGACCGGTTCCGGCACGTCTCTACCGGTTCCACAACCGTTTCTCCACGTTGGAACTTGGCTAAACAAGCACATGATTCTTCTGTTTTTCTATGGAATTAAGTTATTCTCGAACCTTCTTCGGGCTTTGCACAAATCATCCAACGCACATCTTTACTTTTTCATCTGAAAATTTGATCTAACTTTTCTTTTCCCCAATTTCTTGGACATTTACCGCTGTACACACAATGTCATATGTTTTTGTGTCGTGATGATTCATCGATTTACACTTGAAGCTGTTATTACTTTGTCGCAGGTGCAAGCACTTGCCTGGTTCGATGTTCTCCAGTTCTCCAGTTAATTGTTATTTCAATTTTTTTTATTCATTTGACGGAGTTTGTTCTCACATGTGACTTTTCCGAACAGCACAATCCAAAGGTCTATCTGTTTTGTCTCCTGTTTCTTTGCTCCTCAAAGATAGGGGTCCTAAAGCCTTCAGGAACCTGTATTTCTTGTTAACTATCAATCTTTCAAATGCTCTACTATCCTTTTACGTATCAGATCAAATGACAACGTATCCGTTACCGTTTCTCGAAGTCGTATTTTTCTAACATATTACATCAAACAACATCTGCGAGAACTTTATAAAAACGTCCAATATAGTGTTAGGCATGTTTATTATAGAAATGAGAGTAATTTGGGGATTCCTAACATCAAGTTTATAATTTAAGCCAGTATAAGTTCTCAGCGCAGCTTTACGGTTTTTCTTCAATCTTATGAGTGTATAAACAATTCTGCAAAGGAGCAGCGACTCTCTGGAGATTCCAGAATTCAAACAGCCATTCATTGAGGATCTACCAGGAAATCATGCAAATTGCATGTTTATGAACCGCTAGAAATATATCCTTCGCCTGTGTTTTCAGCTGAGACTCTGTTTAGAAATGAAGTAAAGGTTTGCCCATAACATTCGCGCAAGAAACTGAGACCATAAATGTTGTGTCCATGTCTTAAAATGTTCACAAATTGTAGATATGGTATGCGCGATATTTTGAGTGAATCCATCAGCAGGAAGTTTCACCTTTTCCCTAATCTTGTCGTATACAACGCGCTTATCACTTGGAGCCTGTTTTGAGCGTTTGGATGTTTTTATTATGAGATTTATGTCCGTTTGATTTTCTGAAGCACGATGTGATCAACTGTGGGTAGAAGTTTCTCGAGAGAGTTTCAGGTCTTGGTCACTAGTCAACACATTTTAACAACAAGTACTTTCGCTACCCTATGAATGACAAATTGTAGTTGAATAGTGCATTTATACGTATATTTCGTTCACTATCTCATTTAAGTTTTCTAAACGTCTATTTACCATGACTTCTCTATCAAACTCAAATCTGATGTAATTAATGTGTTAACTAAGTATTGCATAATTTCGAACAGCAGTATTATTATTCCGGCATGCTTATTGTATGTCACTCAAGTTTTCCATTTATACTAAGGATTTCAAAATAAAAACTACAATGATTTCTTGCCTACATGTGTACTTTTGTGTCTTCTAAACCAAAGATCCGTCAAATCTCATTGTCGTCCGAAGTTGTACTAATAGTACTCGACGTCTGTCGTGCTTGATATATACTATCGATTTTTGCTCTAACTATTATATTTTCAGACTAGTATTGGGCCGGTGTGCGGTGTACATAGATTTTAGAGGCTTCCATAGCAATCATGACGCGTAAGTTTTTTTGTTGTCCTCATCTTTTAAACTTTTCGAAATAGGTTCATCTGGTTTTCATTAGGAGGCTTTTTTGAAATCACCTCTTTGTTTTTTGCTGGTGTTTCCCACTCGATGGTTTAAATTGCAGGTGGTAATCAACGTGATCTTGCTCGTGAGAAGAACATGAAGAAGCAGTTGGAATTGAAGAAGAAAGCAGGAGCTAGTGCCAGAGAAGCGAATGCAGTACGTTCGATATTCGCTGTTGATATTATGGTGCTAGAAAGGGCAATTTTGGCTTATATCGATGATAACCACGTTATACTACCTGCAAAGATTTCTCTGTAGCTTACTCTTACATAATGTGCTACTATGTTCTCCTTGTTTACTCACCATTAGTCGAAGTCAATGCCGTATACATCTTGGAGTTCTTAATTTTCTAGGGTCTCTCAACCGAGGCAAGATTGAATCGTGACGCAGAAGTAATGAGAATTAAGCAAGAAAAGGCGGCAGCGAAAAAAGCTGCCGAGGACGCAGCCAAAGCTGCTGCAGATAGCAAAGTGAAAAAGATTGATCCGCTCAAGATGTAAAGGTGAGTCTCTAACTCTGATCTTTACATCTCGATTCATTATTATTTTCATTGTCTGCTAGATTGTTAGATTTGGCAATATTTTTGCATGAGATGTTTAGTTTTGACTTTACCTTTTTTGTCAAAGTCATTTTTCTTTCTATTTGTATGTGTCCATCTTCGAGTTCTGTCTTCGAGTTTTAAATGTTTTTCCGTAATCTTCTTGTTGACTCATATCTTCTCAATAGCATCATACTCCTGTAGCTCTATTACGAAACAGTAAGTCAAAATTCTGCAAACCTTCTGTGCATCTCATTGTCAGCTCTATCCATTATTTCAGGCCCGCTCTTTCTTTGGTTCTCGGAACTCGCCAAGCAATTCTATATTTGAAGGCACTATATTGCCATGTATCTGTCTTATAACTTCTTGATCAGTGTTATGTTGGTTTTGGAGTAATAAACAGTACACTAAAAATAAATTATATCGTATGCTTTTTGTTCTCATCTCATGTAGTATTTCTGGGGTTTGCGCGAGTTATTCTGGGGGATTTTTATAGGTTTCACGCTTCCCAAGCCATATTACTTGTCCCTTGCATATTTGTTGTATTCAATGATGTTTATGTCACTCGATAAAATGAAATCACTGTGTCCTGAACTCGTGTGTGAAGTCAAAAAGTTTTCGATTTGTGTAGGTCATACCAAAAACTGCAACTGAGTCGGAAAGCAGGCGAATTGGCTTTGAACTAACATTTCATTTGTGCTCCTTCACAAAGTATGTTATCTTAAATTCTCTCGAATTGCAATCAAGGATTGCAACAAAGCTGAAATATAGTGAATCTAGTGGAGCAGGAGTACCACTTCTCATATCTGAACATAAAACTGTTTTGAATAGTCTTGTTATTGAGAAATGGCGCTTTGTATAAGCAAAGCATGTTTACAGGCACCGTCCACCCAGATTTTCGACTTTCACGTTTTTGTCGTTTCAGGGCCTTCTCATGTTCCTGATTCCGAATATGAAGTCGAGAATGCTCGAAAACTCCGACAATCCCCGTTCCGGAGGACCCACAGGCCGGCTTTCCGGAACGGTGATTGGATGGGCGCGCAAAAATGGGCGGGCATGGATGGGAGAGGGCGGGCATGGATGGGGGTCCTCGTGCATCGTCGCTATTCCGAAGCGATTTTCTCGCTTCCGAAGCGGCATTTTGCGCCGCGACTTGGGCATTGGATTGATAGGGGGCCTTATTATTATAAGCTGCCAAAAACTCAACAACCTCAACTCAGGGTGGACGGTGCCTTTAAGCTCAGTAATCAAACTCTTGCACTGTTGTTAGGCATGTTAGTAAATTAAGGCGCTGATCCGTAGTTATTCGGAAGGCAGAACCGTATCAAATTCTTTTGGCAGAAAGCTACAGATAATAATGTACTGTGATAATAGTGTACTTATCTAACTGCAATTTCTAACATAAAAGAGGAGTATAGAGAACGGCTTGAAACAAACATCGATTTGATATAGATCACTTCCATCGATATGTCCAGGAGGAACACACACTCGACGCCGTTTCAGTTTCACAACTGCGTTCGACTTTTTTATGACCTTTGTTACACTTCCTCTTAGTAATTTTCTTCTGGAAGCTCCAAATGTTTCCTTTTTTGGTATGTGCTTCTTAAACTCCTAAAGCTTGGTATTTTGAGCAGTAAGTAGCATCCTAGCGTTGGTCTCAAGCATCAGGTATGTACAGTGATTTTTAACAATTTTTGTGCGAACTACTTAGGGCCGCATGCACTAATACTAGCTTGTGAAGGGATCGCAGCTCAAAAGAAAGCTTCATATCCTGAAGCTCCAGATGTGGGATTTCACGCTGTCTACTTTTCCGTAAGCATTTTCACCATGCTTCATTATGAACATATCAAATGGGAACAGAAGCTTTACAAGCCGCATTTTCCAACTTTTTGCATGATCCCCGATGACTCCAGCTGCCAACCGTCTTTTCTTTGAAGTCATTTTTCTTTTTTCGAAGTCAATAAAAAGGTTCCAAAATTGTGCTGTTCATCTAACTCAACAGTGCTAATTTGTTTTTGGCAAGAACAAGTGATGTTTCGAAGTCATGAAACTTGCGGTGAACCACAAGCCAAAAGCTGGGGTTTATCTAAAAATTAATATTCCAAAAATTCATTTGTTCTTATCACCAATATGCTCAGCACTGTTGGGTTAAATAATCAGTACAACTTTGGAAGGTTTTCGTTAACTTCGAAAGAAGAAAAATGAATGGAAGAAAAGACGTTCGGCCGTGGGGGATCGTAGAAAAAGCTGGAAAATGCAATTTGTACAGCTTCTTGCTCCCGTTTAATATGTTCGAAATGAATGTGGGAATACTTACGAAGAACAGCGTGAAGCCCAGGTATCTGAAGCTCCAGGATGTGAGATTTTCTTTCAAGTTGCGATCCCCTCCTCGGCGGGGATGTTGATGCATGCGGCCCTAAAGGAAAGCTAACTTTTGCATTCATTGCCCTTTTCCACCGTAGAAGTTGTTGAAATGATTACAATGAATGAAGCTGCAAGGCAGCAATTGCTTTGCTTGAATCGCATTGCACACAGCATTCAACAATTAGCAACATTGTTCATGCAACTTGCACTGAAATCCTCGCTTTAGAACTTCCAAATCAACAAATTGATTTGCTGCGCGCAGGTTCGTTATTTCATGTATGTTTCCTTTACTGCTGCAGAACTTATCGGGCGTGTAGTAGGCAGTTGTTGCCATTATATGACCCCTCAGCCATATAACTTCTTATAAAGATTTTTTAAAGTCACAAGAAGTATTTGAGTCATGCCACCTTGTGTGTGGTACTATAAGACGCTTTTGCTGCTTTGTAAAAATTGTGGTGTTGATGTCTACGAGTCTACTATAGAATACATCCGACTCTGACAACGTTGAGCACCGTTTAACGAAATTAGCAACGAAAACGCAACAAAGGAATGGGAGAAGACAAAAGATAATAGAAATTTCTTTGTCAGATGAACGAAAGATTGCTGCCTTTCCTACTAAAACAGCGACTTAACGATGTTTGGGAGGTAGTCGAAACTTCAACCTATACAATTTTGAAAAGATAGATCGTTTTGCATTCAAGGAGAGGAAGTTGAGATAGAGAGAAAGAATGATTTTTCGTAATTTTAAACATGACAATGGGCAATTAATAATGGGCTTATACTGCTTTTTTATACAGTTTGTTCGTACTTTTTCTCACTAGTATGTCGCAGTAGTCAACGCCACGCTAGAACATCTACAAATTGATCAGCGGATACAAATCTTACATTATCGACAGAACCTTTGGTATGTGTACAGTGTAGATAAGGAACGCAATTCTCAAGGGAAGAGGTGCCGTTGTGGCTGGTTACAGATCAGTGAAAAATCTTGGGTTAAAAGTGGGAGCCATCAATTCCTATATGTGATCGAAAAACGCTGACGAAACCAATTCTGTATTAATTCGTTTTCCTAGTTATTACGCTGGTTTTCAGGTGGGAACGTTCATTTGAAACAGAGACGGCTAACGTTTCGGCCTAGTCACCTTCGTCAGCCTATAAAGTAAGGAACATTAGGAATTACCTCCCAAACATCCCATCACATGCGGGAAGAAGCCTCAGAAGTTGAGTAGACTCCCATTAAGGCCTAGAACTATTAGCTCACCTTTGCTGTCAGAATGAGGTAGAACCACCGCTGACTGGAATGCGCTAACAATGTGTGAGGCAAGTCTCTGGACGCTACGCATAGATCAAAACTTGCATGAGCTTGTAGTTCTTAAATCTACGAAACTTGTTTTTACGGTTGGTGAATTCATTGTAAAACATTCATAAATTATTTTATCATCCTGCATAAGTTCTTTCCTTTCGAACACTATTCTGTGGTTTGGTAGTTAATTATACAAGGCAATAAAATTATGCTATTGCTGCGTGAGTCTATCCAAATTTTCCCAAAAGTCTCGCACTAATTTTTGGAAGTGATCTACATTCAACAATACAATTCAGTTCGATGAATTTCTGACAAAAGTAAAGGAATCAAGAGCCTTCTATTAGCGCTTAAAAGGCAGCGGCTCGGGAAAATTTTAGTTGCGGGCTTTCCATCTCTCCTTGGGCTTCTGGATGCGCTGCTAGTGCTGTGCTTGGAAACCTTTTCAGGCGTTTTCCGGTCTTGGAGATTGCTGAAGGGGATGGGTGAGCGTCGCCAACTGAGTGATTGGCTGCATGAGCCGATCAGCCAATGGCCGCCATAATGGGCGGATTTACAGTATCCTGCAGCCAGTCGCTATTTTAGAGTCGCTCGCCCATCACCCTCAGCAATCTCCAAGGCTGGAAAACGCCAAATAGTACTTTTTTGACTTTTTAAGCATAGGCCGTACTCAGCGGGTCCAGAGGACCATATGGGCGTGAAAAGCTTGCAGTCGCAATTTTCCTGAGCAAATGGTTTTGGCATATTGCCAATAGAAGTTCTTATTTTGATAAATGTCGTAGATAATGCTACATCCTGACAATCTGATTAAAATTTTCGTTTCTATCCCACATTTTATAAAAAAATCGTGTTGGTCGATGTGCTATGAATCATGCGGTCCATCTCGATCTTTCAGTTTTTCATACATTACAATGTAAAGTATAGATGTATAAGAAAATCATAATGTATGCTGTTATATTTTCCAAAAGTTCTTAGACCGAACCTCTCGGGAATTCTTATGCAAGACTCGCGGTACCTCTAGTCTGAAACTTTTTCTTAGTGGCATGCTCGAAATTACAATATATTGCTAGTGATTTCAGCAGACGAATCGTATAATATTCCCACATAAATTTTCCTTGACCCCCCCCCCCTCCTCCCGCCTTGTCCTTTTCCTATCCTACCTTGTTATTCTATAATTTGTTTACTCCAAGGTAAGCCAAAATCATTGCTTGCGGGGGAATATGAGGGAAAGTGCTGTTGAAAAGAATTGACCTGGTATCAATAGATAACGCACTACCAGAACACAATTTTTGTTGAAATATTGTGAACGATGTTTGATGTTTCACATAGGTGAAAGGTTGGTAGCACTGAACACAACAATTGTGAGCTTTTAGCCTATTTTGGGTTATTTCACTCGCTGGTGTAAATAAAGTTCGCTCTATTTTGGGAAGTAGTTGATAGAGGTTTTGCCCTCTACTCTTCTCTACTGCTGTATGATTAATTTGTCTTTATTTGAACGTTTCTATAGCTTCTTCTCGTAAGCTATACCGGTATTGAATCATGGGTTCTTGCTCTCATAGGCTGTTCTGTTCTCTTTTTGATTTCTGCAATCTCTTTCATAAACACCAAAAAGCGGGCGAAATGGTTTGTTTGAGATGATTTTTGATGCGGGCTATGGACTACAAAAGTCAGCTTGGAGAATTATACCAGACGTTACTACTAACAAGGAA